GTCGTCGGTCGGTCGGTCGGTCGCGCCGTAACCGACGGAGCATCCGTAAATCTGGGATTTCGCCCGCATCTCGCTCGGCCGCACGTACGGAGACCGCGATTCGGACACTATCGCGATGCAACGGAGTCGATGTTCGCGGACTCCGTTGAGTGGGACAGGCTCAATGAGTCCTTCATGGAATCGTTCGGAGCCGCTCGGATTTTTTTCAAGACGACGACGTGCTAGGTTTCGTGCTTTCCGTGCGTATACGTTTGTGTATGCAGGCGAACCTGAACAAATTCAATCGCTTGACTCGAGGCGAAGCTCTGGGTTGTTCCGGGACCCGGTTCGGAATATAAGGAAAAGGCATACCTATACATGTAGTATGTATTTGAAGCTTAGTCGTCTCCATTGTGAAGCAGCGAAATCACGGCAGTTCCGTGCGGAGGCTCCGCCCCGTAATGAGATTAGTCGGCCAAACGTGTACATTAGTACATAACGTCCCCTTGTATATAATGCAACCATAAATCGTTTAGGGCTGAATGCCGCAATCGCAACAATGCGCGTGCCGATGTATCGTTATGTAGTAACAAGCCGCACACCGGAAGGTTGTTGATTGTTTTTACGGGGACGAATTTCCCTCGTGCAGGATTCCCCCTCAAACTCGAGCCGCAATCGCGGTCCTCCGACTGCTCCCGATGAAAAAGAAGCCGGGGTCAGCTACCGTATTTTTTATTTTCCGACGTTGTTGGTGCGGAGTACGACGCGCAAGGAATCGGTGAAGAACATGTCGGGATGCAAGACATGCAGCGATGAGAATCGATGCTTCGCTCTCTCTTAAAACTGATTTGTCTCTGCGTCGCGTCCTGTGGCTCGATGGGATCGGTGGAATGAGGAAAGCGGTGCACGGCGGAAACGTGCATTGTGTGAACTGAACGATAACGGGTCATCGGGTCACGTACGGTGAATCTCCCGCAAGCAGAAATATGCCGTCTCGCGGGACTTACGGAACGCAATCCCCATTGACATCGCCTTCGCGTCACAGATTTCGTTTGGGCACAACTACTGCAAGTCTGGAAAGACGATCGACCTGGAAGAGGATACGACGAAATAATTCGGCACAACATGCGATTTCGGCGGATGAAAACCTTTAGATACCGGACGCGGGCGACTCTGCTCGCCGCGCGTTTTTTCCATTAATCGATTCTATCTTCTGCTAGCTCCCGTCGCTGACGGATGAATTCACGCTTCAGTTTTCGAGCAGTCTGCAGTTGCGGAGGGGAGCGAACAAAGAGCGGCTATCTGCCTCGACGGAAACCTCATCTGGAAATGAGGCTCAATCTGCCTCCGAAGATTTGGTGTCAGAATCATCGAAGTCCCGAGGATGCGAGCCTCGATGAGGCCCTGAGGTTTATTTAATTCGGTACGTAGATTTTCATTCCTCGTACCCTTTTCCGTCGGGTACACTACCCTTCGGAGACTCGGGATCTCGTTTCAACTTTACGTACCCGCGGTAGAGGGGGGCATGATCACGCGATAGAGGGCGGCATGATCACGCGAAAGTTCACCAACGTACGAAGCTGTCAGCCGGAGGCTGGCTGACGAGCATTCTCAGGAAACAGGTTTCAAGAACGTCGACTTTCCGGAGTTCACTTCCAGCTTTCCTTGCAAGAGTCGGCGTACTTGAAAAGTGTTTGGTAGCTTTCCACAAGCGATTCTTCTTCCTCCGAAATTCCGATAGGAAAATGTTCCATATTAATGGTCGAATCCACCGGAAAGTTCTGCGCGCAATTTCCGCAGTCCGTGCGCTCCGCCCGCAGACGAATTGCTTGGAATCCTCGCTCGCGGGCGAACTCTGCTTGTTTTCGTATCGCGCATTCGTCGGGCAACTCAAATTAGTCGCTCATAGGGTCGATCGGTCCGTTCAGGAATTGACTATCAGCATTCAGCAGCTAGCTCGGATCAGACGAGAGAAAGCCATCCGTGTGCACGGACGGATCCTATTCTGATTGTGATCTGCCCATCTTGGCGATTCGTATTTCAGCTAAGATGTTCAACGCAGTGGGAAGACTGAAAGCATGTTTGGTTCTGAGAGAGCCTAACGAATGGGTGTGTCCCAAAGTCGAAATACGGGCTCAGGGAAACCTCGGTCCTAGTCCGAGTGGTGAAGCTCTCTCAGAACGCCCGAGATCTCGGGGTTGATTGTTATCGAGCGTTCACCAGGGTGCTCTGTGGCGGACCGAGTTGTCGTTCCTCTGAGTCAGGGGGCATCCTACTCCGAGAGATTCAAGCAAGAGAAATACGCTCTTCAAGATTGGCCGTTAGAGCCCGCGCAACCGCGAACCGCGTCTCCGGCTCCGCTGAAGAATGAATAGGGAGCCCTAAAAATTCAAGAGAAACCACAATCGAGCTAGAACTCCGAGACGAAGAATCGCTTTCTTATATATGTGAGAAATAGGAGAGGGCGATTAACCGTGGGGCAATTCGACGTTCTCTGGGCCTCAGGCAGACAGCTGATAATGCGCGAGTGCTCGGAGCCTACCTGCTGTGTCTAGACAGGTTGGGGCACCGAGCACACTAACAAAAGCCCTTTAAAACTTAGCGATCGAAGCCACCTTGAATTTCCCTCCGGTAACCTAGTTTCGGAGGCGGATCGACTTGATGTCGCCTCCGAATCGTCCATTTAAGAGCTTGCTCTGGGGAAATCGTCTCATTCGACAACGGACGCTCGAGCGAGTCGATCATGAGAGTTGCGTTCTTATTGTTAGCGTTGTGTTTGGTAGTCGGGAGCGAAGGCACAATCCTTAGGCTTCTGAGGCTGAGACGCATCAAAGGTCAGTAACGCCCTCGACTTAATAAACTCTAATCGCTGAGTTTCTCGCTTGCAACCCTTTCATCGCACCCAGGTGATTCACCAGGCGATGCGCACCCGCTCATCACCCGTCTCCAATCAGCCTTCCTACCGACCGATCAACCGGCTGCTGAATCGGGTGTTCAGCCTAGGACCGAGGATCTTGCTGGCGACACTGAAACCGAAGTAGGTAGCGCCCCCGCAGAAGTTGCTCTAGCACCGGGAACCAAGATCATTACCCGCACTCAAAAAACAGAGAGGAAGGAAACCCACACATCGCAGAGAACCGAGTCGCACAAAACAGTGAGCACGACGTTCCATTCATCCCGACGAACAACAGCTGTTTCCCCGCAGTCTGATCTCTACGGAGCTGTTGTCCCGGGTGCTGACGCTCCTCAGCAGGGACAAGTTCAAGGCCAAGTCCGCACACCCGAAGTCAGCCCGAAACACCATGGCGGCGACAGTGTCCGTCAGAAGGCCCAGATTCAACAGAGCGCAAGCGTTTCTGGCGGAGGGTCTATCCGACAGAGTGCCAATATCAATCAAGGTGCTCCAGGAGGCTCCGTCGCTGTAGATCAGACCGCCAATATCGGACAGCAGGCTTCGATCAGGGGCGCCCCGACGGGCAGCATCAGACAACAAGCCGATGTACGGCAATCGGCGTCGTCCACTGGCGGTGGTCATCGGCAGAGCGTCAACGTGAGACAAGAGGCCAATATTCATCAACAAGCAGGCATCCGCGACTCGGGAAGCATTAGCCAGGTCGCAAACGTGCAGCAAAGCGCGGGTTCTCCTGGAGCAGGGGATGACATTGGCCCTGGCGCGGTAGGCGAAGGGATCAGTAGGGGCTCGGACGGAGACGTTGCACGTCCTCCGGTGGACGGAGAGTGCGGAGCGAACTCGGCGTATTGCATGAATGTGAACGATGAAGGATTCTATCCCAGCCCCGATGCTCGTGGTCATTTTTACCGTTGCTCCCACTGCAGTCCTCACTTCTTCCGCTGTGGACTTGGAACGGCTTACCACCCCTCCTTGAGAGCGTGTCTGTAATGAAAGTCTCGGATGGAAGAACCAGATTTCGCTTAAGAGTTCATGCAATGTAAACCACATTTTCTAGCCTCAGTTTTTTTAACATGCTGAGTCGAACCCCATGGTCCGGTCACCATGTGCAAGTATGGTAGATTGGAGATCCTGACAATAAAACTCATTTATACACACCGAATTTCGTCCTTCCGTTGTTCGGTGCTGAATCGGAATGAGATGATTTTCTTATAGAATAAGTGATCCATCCGAGTATCGAAGCGTGTTTATCGAACGCAGATCAGCATTGACCCGGAGGAGAAATCGCTCCTTCGCACATTTCGCACGCAGCCGACAGCCGCTCCGGCAGGACGTCAATGTGGTCAAACCTGCGCGGATGGCCGGACCGCCCCGAGGAGTCGGCCGTGCGTCGATATCGATAGGATTCCGGCGCGACCGTCCCCGTCAACCATGAAAAAAAGCGGGCTGAGCGCGCAACTCCCTAAGGAGTCAGTCTTGTTTGCGATGATAAGGAGGGACTCAGTCGGATTTCAGTCTATGTTCGAGCAAGGATGAGCAGGATGATTCTTGTTGAATGTATTGGTGGGACACAAATCATTCAGATTCATTCTTGGGGAGCTGTACTGTTCATAATGCCGGAGTTTCGAGCACCCATGTAGCGCATTGCTCGGACTCATTGGGGTAAGTGCTCCGGCCGCCAAATCTGTGTTCAATCAGGCAAGAGCCTGCACATTTGATCTCCCTCACGAATCACGACCCGGGGGCCGACGTCTCCCCTGCACGGAAATATCGCCGCGTTCTAGCATTCAAACTGATGCAGCGAGCGGGAGGAGAGGGGAAGGTATGATCTCCAGGAGCTTGGGACCCGACCGTTAACAGCGAAGGAATGGGTTCCGAGGTGAGGTCTGAGGAGAAATGCTCGGGCTCACTCAAGAGAACGGTACTCCTCCCTCTCACTTCTCAGGAGTAGTAGAGGGGAGTACTGACTTTCCCTTGGGAACTTTTCTAAGCAAGCGGTGTTGTCACCGGAAATACTTTGAATTCTCCCCAAATGAGTACGCGATTCAGTTTTTGAATCGAGGTGGACACAGGTTGACATGAGCTCGTGCTGGCGAAACAAAAACTCGGATGATGTTGATTTTTGTTTTATTCGCTCACTTCTCGTCGGTCCCGTCACAACTCACTCTCGAGCTCGACATAAGGAATGTCACTCGATAATTCTGGAGGATGATCACCATGATTCGGCCAACTTTGCGACACAGTCGAGTCGATTACCAAGCGGGAAATCGGATATCCCTCGACGTTCTATAGGAGAAAATACGTGAATAAAATCCTCTTCCCGTCACAACTGGAGATGTAGGTACCCGGTATTATGATTTAAGTCCTGTTTGTCTGCCTGACCTCCTCGTTTTCTTCGTGCACGGAGGTTTGAGCGCAACGTTGAACTCCCTGCATGAGTCTCTCGTGGAGTGGCGGTTCTTCGCCGCCGTGCGTTGCGGTTTTCCCACTGTTGTTCTTCGGGATCTCATCTGGAATTGGATAAGATGCTCCTAGTGCACTACGAGCATCGGATCCCTTAGAGCTGTCACGGCGGCACATGTCGCACACGGCCTACCTCTCGTTTGGAGTCCTTCTTCTTCTGAGCTCAGGAGATCTTCAGCAGAAACGAACACTTCATTCTCCTCCGAATATTTCGGTATCAGGACCTTCGTCACAGGCGACTCTTGGAGCGTGGAATGCGAGCTCGTCGAACTGATATCCGGCTTGAAGGAAAGCTCGCCAATCATTTCGTTGACTAGAGAGACTAGAGACTACTTCGCACCGTCGACCGTGGAGAACATTTACCTGGGCCGCGTTCTCAGGCACGATCTCGGCATCTTCTGCGTCCCCCGTGACTTTTTCGAGCGATAGAGAGATCTTCTCGGCAGCTTCTCCCTTTTTGTTTGGGAGAGAACATTTCAATCGTTTGCGGAACTGGAAAACTCAATGGCGAGCGTCTCGACCGTCGACACCGATCGGGGAGCGAGGGCAGGCTCACATCATGTTTCGACGCTCCAATATACCCCTAAATCGAGCAGCTCGAATGTCTTGAAGAGAAGTCAATCACTCACGGTTTCTATGCTCTCAGCGGAGTGGACAGGGGAACGAGTTGCACCAAGATCAGTGACAGCTCCCGATTTTCTCTCGAAAGAATCCGAGCGTCTTCTCGGCTTCAGTTTCGATACAGTAGCAGAATTCCCGTCGATCACCACCATGTCCCCGGACCGGAAAGTCTCGGTGGCGCCGATGACGCCGACTAGCGCCGGGAGCCCGAATTCCCTCGCAACTACGGCTCCGTGGGAGATTATGCCTCCGATTTCGGTGACGATTCCTGACAGCATCGGGAAGTACGGAGTCCAGCCTGGCGATGACCTCGGATTAATGGAACGCTCTTCCGTGTTTCCGACGGTCATATCACCGGGAACCCATGAAGATCCTCTATGGTTCCCAATTATTTCGAGTCTGCCTCGCCGACAGCGGCTATCCATGTTCCGGAACTTACCGGTATCGGTGCAATGCGTGATGAGTATTTCGCCGTTTTGGATGAGGTGAGCTTCCTTCTCAAAGTCATGGATCACTCTCGCCACTCCAGTGACCGTGCCTTCGCTGACAGTCATTCCCGAGGAAGATGTTTTGTTGGCAGTGTTCAGAAGATTTTCCATTTTTTTCTCCTGTGGACGGGAGGGCAAATCAACGTAGGGATTGGATTCGGACAAGCAGATCTCAGACGGAAATATTCATCACCCCAATGATATCTCGAAGCTCCACTGATGGATGAGGAAACGAGCTTGTACCGGCTGGGGAATGCCGCAAATTATGACGGGGAATTTCTCTCGGTTGATTTTCGGATGCAATCGCTCTCGCCGCCTAGCTCTGGAATACGGGAGCGAGGGTTTAGTTTCCAGGAAGACCTTATTTCCTGAAGAGCCACGCCGCAGGATGGTCCAGAATAACCCCTCAGGGAACAGTTCCCGAAAGGATGGCTACTTTTGGTCAATAGGATTATTGCACGCACTTAGAAACGAGATTAGAGTCATGCTGTTTTGCAAGGCGGTACATCTCATCTAAGGTGAGGTAGAAAATCAGTTCTTCCCGGGGCAATCTGTACTCTCCGCGCATTCGAGCAGCGATGATCAGAAGAGCCTTACGGATCTCGTGGATACACTTGACCACCGCAGATTTCATGGCTTCCCGCGCGAATACGGCTTTGCGGGCGCGTGGAACTGTGTACTCTAAAAGTTTTCTGCAAAGACACGAAGTTTTCAGCCTATTGATACATTTGCTCCTCCTCGGAAGAGCTCAGCATGATGGCTGAGTGTTCAATGTGGAATAGAGAACTCACTTGTTGACGAAGCCCGGACGGAGATTCACGACATCGGGCTCGACGCTCGCAGAATCCTTCGAGCCGTACGACTGGAGTATTCTACGAGCGAAACCAAGAAAAATATTTCACAGGTATTGGCTATATCTAAATACTTCCACAAGACCACGAAAGCGGCGATCAATGGGATGACCGGAGGTCTCTCCCCACGGAATCGCTCCTTTCGGGGCGCCGCTGGACGTACTTGATAAGCTGCACCGGGTCCATGTCCCACGGCTTGGATGCCAGATCGAATTCTTTATAGCAGCGGTGTCCATGTCTTCTCAAAAAGTCTCGGAAATGCTGTCCCGCTTCACCTTCATCCCCTTGGAGTTTGAGCAGGGCCTCCTCCGGGCTCGATTTCACGAAGGAATCTCCAATGTTGGACGACTTGATGCAGGAAGCGAGTTTCTACGAAAAATCAGGCTCGAATAAGCGACGGAGGGACCACATCCACCTACCACGGGCTGAAAATTTTGATACGGATAGAGCCCTTCAACCTGCAGGGCATGCAATAATATTGGGAACTTGCTCGAAGATTTTCGGGAATATCCGCGCTTTCCACTTCCAATTCGGAGCGCATGAGCTTCGAGAACAGCGACATCAGTTCACCGGCGGGGGCTTGAATGAGGGGAATCATTTCGGGAAAATATTACTCCGCTGATCGCACTCCCCTGGTTTGTAGAAAGTATTCCTTCGATCACTCCTCTCACAGACTCCTCACCGCTCACCTCTTTTCCCCACGATCCCCCTCAGAACGCGGATTGTGGCTCGCATCCAGCTCGACGCTGCAATGGTCGCCCCAGAGAGGTAGCCGAACGAATTCTTCATTTGGTGCAGCTGTTTTAAAAAGGAGATGACCATTTCACTTGATGTTGCACAGCTTGGCAGGTTGATGGAGAAATTTTCTGCCACTAGCTTCCCTTTGCGCAGAATTTCGTCTGTTTCGTAAGATATCTGGAATATCGGACGTTTTATTCAACTCCGTGGGATTCCGATTCGACTCCAATGACCCTTCAAGGATACAGAAGGGCAGAAAAGTCTCAGGGGATCGAACTCACGCCCAACGTCATCCGGGCCATTTTCATGACAGTATTTTTCGAGGCGAGCGACTCATGGAAGATCCCGAGTCGGAAAACTTCATGGCCATTCATATCTGTGCCGATCGTAGTCAGGGCCTGATCCTTGAGCTGCCTGTGTCCCAGACCGAAGAGGTTCTGGGAATGGATTTCAAACAAAATTATACCTCGTTCCGGAAGCTCTCCAATCGGATATTCTGGACGGGTCTATCGGTAGTTCGAAATACTTGCCTGAGATGCGTTAAGAAAGGCTTTTTTGCCGAATTGGTGGAAGAATTTGGGCGAGTAGAGACTGTAGTCCATCAGGTCGGGGAAATGTTTCCTAACGATTCGTAGCAGGAAAACGTCGAAGTTCATGGTCATGAGGTCGAGAGTCATTGGCGTAAGGCAGCCTGGCATCACTTCGCTGCAGAGAAAACAATGACCGTTGGATCGCGCATTGAGGGACCGGCACCCGGCTCATTATATAATGTGAAGCTCGATGAAGAGGAACGCTCGGAACTCACTCGAGGTTAGCTCTGCTCAAAACCTCTCGATTTGTCGGAACGCCGCAATCCAGATCGTGCGTCGTCTCGTACTCGGTCTCCGCGAATATCGAAGTTATTGGCCGGCTTTGTAGGAGGAAAAGTTGGTCGTCCTTCACCGCCCACTCGATGTCGCGCGGCCTATCGAAATGCGCTTCCACCTTTCAATTTTGGACGGATAGTTGAGAGCCCTGATCAGTCGGACTTCTCGATGGCAACAACAGGAGTATGGAATTGTTCTCGGCGGCGAGATTTTCTTACCTGAGCTCCGACCCGAGCGAGAGTCTCCACCGTGGAATCGCTCAGACAGAAGCTCCTAGATTGTTCCTCGTTCAGATATGCTTTAAGAACTCCCCCAGTGAAGCGCGGGAAAATCCCTCCGTCCTTCTTGCCGAGCTGAAATTTCAAATATCGAGGGCATTCGAACGATAAGTTGCAATTACCTCTGGCGTCGGTAGCGCGGGAGATCAGGAAGGATAACTAACCGTTTTCGAATCGAGGTGGATATCTTGATTTCCGTTGCGTTTCAACACGAAGGTGTCTGGGTCGACTTGTGCCGAAACGACAGATTCGCCTAAACCGTAGTTGGCGGTTATCGTGATCATGCCAGGATGTCCCGAAACCGGGTCGCAAGTGAACATCACGCCAGCTGCGTCAGGGTTGACCATTTCTTGTATGACCACCGCCATTCCGGCGCCTTCGAGTTTTTGGCCGTACTGGCGCTTATAGTTCAGAGCTGCGAGAGTGAACGGCAGAAAGAGCTCTTAAGGTTCTGTGCACTTCGGGAGCATCAACTACTGCGGGTTCAAATCGTCTCGACGCCACTCACCTGTAACCGAAAATTGTGAAGCCCAGCACTTGACGACGGCTTCGTAGATCTCGTCGAGCTCTTTGAGGTTCAGGAATGTGCTCATTTGACCGGCTGCGGACATCTCTTCAGAATCCTCGCCCACAGCTGACGAGCGAACAGCCACCGCTCGAATTTCGTTCAAGGGTCCAATCGTCTCCAAGATTTTCTGCTCTATCTGCAGTCTGAGTTCTTGAGGTAAGCAGAACTCCGATAGTTTCCTGACACATTCATCACTGGTCGACAAGTTTCCAGTCTCCGGATCAGCCGAGTCGCGGATATCCTCGGATAGCTTCTCCAAGACCTCGGTGACACATTTTTGCGAAGCGAATTTTTCGTATGCGCGGGTCGTCACAACCAGAGCCCTTGGGACGGTGAACTGGAAACGGAAAGCGCTCGAGTTCCCGTCCTCGAATAAGCAATGCAGTTTACAGCCCGAGAAACGGCATTTCAAATGCTCACCGTTCCGAGTTCTCCCGAGAGAGCGTAGAGCGCAGCCAACGACGATCCTTTTCCTCCACTCAGGGAGGCGTGACGACATCCTTCTTCGTCAATTGCGACGACCATCGCATCTGCATCGCAGAAGTCTTCCGGTGCCGGGGATTCGGAGCGTAAAACCTCGAACCGATTGACCTCCTCCTCAGGTACGAGATGTTCGTCGGGAAACCTCAGCGAGAGCACGCCGCAGTTGTAATCATTGCCTTTAATGCGCAACGATCCCCAGGAGACAGACACTCGCCAGGTGGAGTTCGCAGGCGCCTCCGATGACGCAACCGCGAGCCTCTGAGCTGTCGACCAGCTGCCTTCGAAGCTTTGGGGTCCTGAGAGGAGAAAAAGGAATGATTTCCAACCGCGTGAAGAGTCCAGAGCTCTCAACCTCCTGCACGCTTCTACTCTGCTGACCCGTTTTGAAGGTCGAGAGCACCCGGCTCCCTTTCGACGTGAGACGTCCTCCGGATATCCTCCGCATACGAACGCTGGGCGTGTAGCAGAAACCGTAGCACTTTTCGTTGGGCAGATCGACGATGTGGAATACAGCACCGTTCTGTTGGCATGGTGGGGATGGGTCATTAGCTCAGAAATATTTAATTTCCGTCGCGTTAAGTCATTTTCTCATTTGGATTAGCTTTTTTTTCAGTATCTTCTCTGGTCGATAAGGAATTCTTGATCCCTCCTTCGAGGTAACCTCGATGGGCGATGTCACTCACGGTGGCGTAGCCAAAATGATGATTCGCTCGGTTGAACAGCGACAAGTGATTCGAGGAGTTTGTCCTGGAGGCGCCTATATATCGTAGTTTCGTCCCGAATAGGACTTCCTCCGACTGCGTCCCGTTGACTTTGAGATCGCAGTAGAAAGTGCCGCCCTGCTCGTAACCGGCGAATAGCGAAGCTCTGCAAGCCATAGGATGGGTTTTCAAGAGAATTTCTGGAAGATATCTGGATCGTCCCTTCCTGGATAGCGTTCTCCTCTCGCCCTGGGAACTAAGCTTACGCTTCTCTACTCACCACCCCTGCTGAGTTAGAAAATCCCTTCAGTCCATTAAGCTCGATGAATAGGTGAGGAATATGATTCGAACCGTTCTATGTTTCGAAATACATATAGGAATCCTGCCCTCGACTTTCATTCAGCACCCAGTATCGGAACTCACCCCCTCATGTCCTCGCGGATTCGGCGGATCGGTTTGCCTGAGCTCTCATATCGCCGCGCGAATTTCGAAGGTCCGATGTCTCTCGGGAACTCGAAGGGCTTAGTGAACGCTGCGAATCTGGCCGCGATCCTGACGTGGACGTCTTGGAGACGGGTTTGGTCCACCATGAGTCCATTGAACGACAAACTCCATCGGCGGAGAGGAGCGTCGACCACGAGTCGCAACCCTCCCGCGCAGAAAGTGCTCCCTGAATAAGAATGCAACTTGCCGTCTCGTTACGCCAAAGCTGCTCGGGGAATCGTTCCCGGAAGATGTGGAATCACGAATGACATGTCCAAGTAGGAACTCTTGGGATCCTATTTTGCCGGGATGCTATTTTTTTTTTGGGATCCTATTTTTGTGGGTACCTATACGAGACAGGAACGAGCCGTGATCGCGATCGGCAGCCAGCGTGATGAACTTCCACGCTACCTACCTTTACTGTAATCCGCATGGTAAGTCTCCTTCGAGATCAGGATGGATCCGCGAATCTCTAGCACGATCCAAAAAACTGCCAACTGATGCGATGTCCTCTCGAAGAAGACAATCAATCTAGTTTTGTTGTCTGGTGAGCTGCCGTGGAAGAGGAGCCAATCCTGGAGACGAGGTGGGATTACCTTTATGCAATTTCTCATCGTCGACTCAATTTCGATGGCCGAATCCAGTCGGAACACGAAGTTCTCGGCCTCCCATGGGATCCAAGCTCGCTGGTCGATCGGAAAACCCCTCGAGATTTCTTCTCGGGATGGCTTCTCGCATCCGAACTCAATGGCAATCGAACCCCCCAGAGTCTCCTATTTCTGCCCCACTTACTACCTCTAGGCCGATGGAAAGCTTCACGATCAAGACTTTTAACGGTGGACATAGGCTCAGTGTCCCGTTGTGAGCGCGCGGAAGCGCTCAGCGGAAAGCACAGCGGACTGTCGCTTGGGAGAATTCTTCCGCGCTACGGCTGTCAGAATCATTTCCATAGGACGATAAACTCTGAGATGGATGAGCAAGGAGTGCGCTTGTTTTCGAGTAGACTGACCTGTATGGGGAAGTACTCCTTGAGCGGGCTTTCGCAGTCCCACTCTTTGAGCGGGAAAATCGCTCCGATCCGCTCCGGATCGTCGAGTCGGGCATTATTCTTCCGGTCGGGAAACTTCGGTCGAACGGACGCGAGACACGACTTCGCGAATCGTTTCAGACGCACATGTTGCATTGGGAGCGACGATCTTCGAAAGCTGTTCCGATTTTGAGCAGTGATTGAGGCAATTACACAGACAATAAGTCATTCGGTTCGTCTGTCAGTCACTCAGTCAGTCAGTCCGTCCGTCCGTCGGAGACTTATCGACACACCAACAGTCTCGCTCTCACTCGCTTTCGCGGTAAACTATGGCCGCCGCTCTAGAAGCTAAAGCGGACGTAACAAGCGTTTGTTCTCTCCACTGAAAAGCAATTCTGCGGGCTGGCAGCTATGTAGACGGTCTACCGACCGACCGAATGACTGACTCGCCCGCCCGCCGGTCACTCAGTCTGTCCATCGGTCAGGCTGGCAAGCGAACCTGCCAGCCACTTGCTTGGATTGTAGGTCGGCAGCGAAGCACTGCGTATTCGCTAGATCGGCCGGTCACGTCAACCGCCGCGCGCCTATCATTTGCTATGCATCGGATTAACGCTGAAGGTTCTTCGTTGGTCTTGAACTCGGAGTTCAGAATCATGTTCTTGAGATAAGCGCTCCCTCCCGATGAGCTCCTTTTTGTGTGCCTGCCTGTATCCCCGTTGCGGAAGTCCCTATCACTCTTCCGATTGGGCGCTCTCATTTATTTTTCGTAATCAATGCCCAGAGACGCACTGAAGCTAGGTCGATACTGATCTTCCGAAATTCCATTGCCGCCTGGGATTAAGCCGTTCCTCCACGATGCGTTATCAAAAGAATTGAGCGAACGCCCCAGTTAGCAATGCTATTGTGTTTCAAGCCGATTGTGGGATCGTCGCAGGAAATTTCTGCCTCTCGAGTCGTCTCCTCGAAAGTTCTCAAGTGTTTTGGAAACAATGGCTGTTCAGATTACAATAGAAGGGCTAAGGGAACGTGCGGCTGAACGGAGATGGGCAACCCATGAATGACTGATCGAATTCTTTCGAATTGTGAATCGGCTCGCGAGTCCGATTCGTTCGAGTAGGATAGCTCCTCCACCGTCCCTCGATCCGACCGGAACCGCACGAACTCTCATGCCTTCAGCTTCCGGAGGGGGTTCGGCGTTTTTCCACGAACTTTTCCGAACTCATGAGATTCTGTCGATGAATGCATGGAGGATATGCCCTGTTTCACCGGAGCAGTGAGATAAAGAGATCCGTCGTACGGAACTGAAAACCATTAGACCGGCCCGAAACTTCTGCCTTGTTTCGTGTCATTCTCTGTTCCACGATTTGCGTCAATCTCGCAGCTTTCGTCTCCGGTGACGCGTTCGCCTGGAAATCTCTTCAGCTGTGGTATTCGAATTACCGGTATCTTTTGTTCAATCATTTTCCACGTCCGCAGTGCAGCCGCAACAAAAAAGGGGCAGCTATGTAGCTGTTGAGATCTTTCGAATCCCAATTGATCCCCACAACGCCCTGAGTCCCCTCAAGAATTATCGACCGGCCTTGGAAATCGACCTCCCCGATGACTGTGGCGTCACCGAGGCGCGTGACCACATGTTCGCGCGCGTTAATCGCTCGGCAACGACGTTGGTTCTTCAAATCAGATCCGGAATCGGCAAGGACCGACAAGCGGGGCTCGAGAGATCTCATGACAGCTCTGGGGACTAGAGGTATTCCCGAGGAACCAATCCTGAGTCTCGTCTCCCTTATTAATTATCTTTTTTCAACCAGAACATGAGTCAGTTTATTGAATAATGGAGGCGAATCTCGTGGTCTATGACGAGAGGGATGCCCGTTACCGGATCCCTGCCAGGAGGTCGCATCAAGGGTCTCGGCCGAGACCCGGCAGGAGTTGATGAACATGCGGCTCCTGCCTCACGGAGTCCTCCGGGAGACTCTGTGCAGCCAGAATCCCAGGACGATGACGACAATGATGAGATTACTCACTCCCAGATATATGTGCAAATCGGTCGAGGCGTGTACATGAGGACGATTTTCGTCCTGGAAAAGAGACGTTATCAACAAGCCCGTGAAGCATACGAGAAACGATGGCGGATGTCGAGCGGAGCGTATCTCACCGCATGGCCGCCGTCATTCTCCTTCGCTCCCCGAGCGATGTTCACTGCAATGAGATTGGGAATGATATGACTCCGTTTTTGCTCTCAGGAACTTCGACGCAACATGTTCCGTAGATCGTTGGCGACTGCTCGACCTACGGCGCTGTACCAGCACCGAATCTGAGGAAATTCCCCAAGCACGCCACACTGCACCAATTCTCGGGTCGGAGTCTCACATGAGGCGACGATGAGGACGAGAAATTCGCTCACGAGTCTTTGGAGAGTTTCTCCAGCCATTCCTCCTGAAATCCCAAACAGCCTCCCGCGAAAGACTCCAGTGACCTTTTGCAACGGGGATCAAGGCAAATCTCGCTACCCAATCACGGTTCACCAATCCCTTCCGTCAAAGAGACGCCGAACGATCTCCTTGTCGTTATTCACGAAGCTTGGCGCGGTCTCGGGCATTGGACCGATGTGGCACACGTTACAACGAGAAATTCTGAACTCATGAGCTTTTAAGAATGCGATTTTTGATTCGGCAAGGCGAGCGTCGGCTGACTCACTGGTGCCGTCATCTCGAATGATTCGGTTTTCGAGATTTTCGAGGATGACAAGAGGGAAGACAATACTCCTTTGCACGGGGGTGATGGCGAAGATCGATATTGAGATAATTTTGTCAACTTCGACATGAAGCTCACGGGATTGTATCCATAAAACTCATCTTGGGACTTTATTTCATAACTTCACAAACGAATTAATCCCTCTAAGAGTCATATATACCGTATGATAAGCATGTACATATCTGACACGGAATTCGAAATTCCAGAGTCGATTGTGACGCTTCCGCGAAGCTCCGGGAAAAATTTTGAATATGAAAATGATAAAATGCGTTCATGTGTCGCTGTATTCCATCGTTGAGTCACCGGCCGATCGTTACATCAGTAGTGCTGCTTTGCGAGCACTTCATCTTGTCGGGAGGGTAATTCAAAATGCATTCGCAGATGGGGGAAAAAACAATTCCAATGGCGGAGTACATTCTTCACAGCTTCAAGAAAACAGAGGGTGTTTATCATGATTCCGTTTAGCACCATGATCAAATGCTTCTGAAGCATTTGACCGTGGTTCTGCATCCTCGTTAATAAATATCATCGTCCCCCGACTCCCGACCGGGGTCTGGGCGCCGTGATGGTGAGGCTCCAAGAGGGATAAGGTCCTTCATATTTGTACTTCAATGGCGAGAAAACGGTGAATTTCTCTCAGACTCCGAAATTCCCCAGCATTTGACCAGCGAGAAGAACCCGAACACACAGGAGCATGATTTTGGCACCGACAGTCGAGTTCATGAGAACCATAGGATACTGCAGAAACTTAGGTTTCGTCATCGGATATCTCGATGATTTCCTCGCGGGGCTCTTTCCGAAGCGTTTCTCCTGCACTTTCCTCGACGTCCGCATCAACATTGTCTCCCACCGATTCGATCTCGTGTCTTTTCGCTAAAGGTTCTCCCAAAGTGGTTAGTCGCTTCGGGATGACCCGCCTCGGCGCTTGGGTGCGTACGAATTCCTCGGCTTCGTCCTCATCTGAGGAGCTCAACTCAATGATGTCGGCGGATCTTTTGATCCCTGCTGCCTCAGGGTCCGCAGAAGCCCGGTCGGATATCTCCATCGCCTCGATTCCGTTCGGAACGATCTCTCCATTCGTCGCATTCGACGGACCGGCAGACTGGTCTGGTACCTGGGGTAAATTGATCAGTTCATCAGATGCCGGGACAGAATTCGAAACCTTTTCCTTAAGTAAGCGTCGGGAGATCGTACGACGCTCGCAGGGCATGGTCTCTCACCTCGACGCGAGGACGTTCCCTGTCTTGACCGTAACGTTGGATGATCTCATCACAATCGACATCTTCGCTATTCTCGCTCTCGGAGGACTCAGTGTCCAGGTAACTTTCGTCCACTTCCGATTCTCGGCTCGAATCCTCCTCCTTCTCGGCCGCTGTCCCGTCTGGACCGCCCGAGTTCGTGGTGTCGCCATTTCCAGTTCCATTCGCGGCTGAAACTCGAAGGAGACTCATAAGAGAGAGTTTCTGATCATTTGCGAGATGGCGTCGACTGCTGTCCGTACCCTCGAACACGCGACTCGGACTCCTGCTCCTCATTCTTCCCTGTGAATGATACTCACAAGCTGAATCAGTGTCTCGATCGTGCCCACTCGAGGTTCCGGCACCGTTGACTTGTCCGTCTGCGAAGCTGTTGATCAAAGCTTCAACTTTCCGTTTCCCTTCGATCGCCTGCTCCTCTAATCGCTTTTTAAGATCCACGTCTTCCTGTGCGGGATCTGGATGGTCCTGGTAGGGGGAGGGAGGGAGGTTGCTCGGTCAGGCCTCAGTGCTGGTGGAATGAGGGTCACGGCGGCAATTCTGGCACGAAAATCGAACCCTTACCGATTCGGTAATTTCTATCTCGAGAGATTCCATGTTTCGCTTCGTTTCCTTGATGCGTCGTTCTCTGATCTGACCGATGATCTCTTTGAAAACCACCTGGGCCACACTCCTGGAGAGATTCGAAGGAGCATCATCATATATATGTTCGGAAGGAGCTCCTCTGCCGTGCAGAGATGGGTCAGGGCACTCGATCTAACCTCTTCTTCTCGTCGGTCATGCCGAGATCGTCCTGTTCGCTTATTCTTTTGACCACGGTGAGAACATCGGGGAAGTCCGGCGTCATTCCGCGCTTCATGCAGCGTTTCGCCATCTTCGCGGTGGCTCTATTTATCTCAGGGTACTGAGTGCCCCGAACGACTATCGGACGCTCTAAGTCGGCGAGCGCGTCTAAGCGATTTCCTTCGAGCTGAAAGGAATCAGCGATATTGAACGACTGCCCGGAGATTTGGAAATTCATTTTCAGAAGTCTACATCTTCAACTGGATGATGTATTGATCCGATAAACTCTCCGGATAGTCACGATTTACAATCCTACCTGCTGGATCTTCTTGTAAAGGTTGACGGCGCGTTTCTGTAGTCTGTCCAAGTATTCATAGTTGGATTCGACTTGGGGATCATCGTCTTCCGATTCTTCTCGAGCTTGAACCGCTCGAATTTTATTCATGTTGCTCTCCAGACTCAGATACAGGCGTTCGATGATTGTCTCCGATGATCGTCTGGCATTGATTCTCCGTCTCTGCAAGGCGAGGAGCCTTTCGCGTTGTTCCTGCGGAGGGATTCAGAAAAATTATCCGTCTGGCACCGGAGCCTGCGGGACCAAAGTCGAGTTCAGGTATCGGTCCTCATCGGATATTATACCGGAAGTTTCATCTAGATTCAATTCACGACGAGACTTACCGGTGTTTTCGGGATGTTTAGCCGCATGTTATCAATGACTTCACGAACGTGCGCTTTGGCTTTCGAAGGTCGTTCCTGACAGCGATGCACCGCGAGTTTCACGGTGTTCCGAAATCCAACTGACAGCAGATATGCTTCATCCGTGCGTTCAGGTTTATTCAACTCGACGAAAATTTCTCGGAGTTTCCGCAAGGCTGGATCTTCCGGAAGTTCAGAAATTGCCTTCAAGAATTTTTCAACGGCTTCTTCGGTTTTTTGCCGAGCCACCTCTGACTCATCAGCGCTACTCGACGGAGCCTCGGCGTTGCCAGGATCTGGCTCGGGACCTTCCCGGCGCGATTCTCCGAGGCCCACTCCTGTCAAGATTTCGGGTGTGGACGTCATCGTGCTAATGTCCCCTCTCAGAGGCGTCGGAGTTTGCTGGGGCGACTCTTTGAGCAGGATATTTTCTTCCCGCTTCCCACCAGCGACAGTCACGACAGAACAGACAGGGCTGATCTTCCGGAGCGCTTCAACGCCGAGTGATCTCGCTTGGGGACGGCAACACAGCTGAGGGGGAATCCCCGTGATTTGGAACTCGGTCAGATTTATCCGCGGGCGAATCGGAGCCTTCGACTTCGAACACAGGGGAAAGACACGACAGCGCGAAATCCATCGAGTGTTTCGAATTTTATTTATTTTTCCTGGAAGCAGACGATGTCTCCGGGGACACACACAACAAAACAATGAGTTCGTGAACTCACGAAAGGCAGAAGACGGGCGTCCTCGCGAGCTTAAGAGCTGAAAGATACCTAACAGAGTACCGGAGGTTATGCCCATTTATTTATTCCTGCGATGGTCCCGAAATCGAAGGCAGGAAATCGCTATCTGTACATTGGGACGATGATGCTCATGATCTTTGGCTGCCTTTCATCGAGATGAGGGATTCCCGCGCGCCATTAGTAAGGACAAGGCAATACGATGACGCGACTGTTGTCCATCTTTTGTCTCTCCTTTTCAATCCCCGTGGAATGGATGGGGAAAATCCCAAGGCAACAGCACAATCGTGTCGTTGTCTATATCGTGAAGTTGCCCGTTCTCCGGTTCGCGTCAGCTTGCATGGAAAGGTCGAACCCTCTGACAGCTATCCGTGAGCCTCGGAATACTCGGAGTCCTGAGAGCCGCGATTCCCCTGCCTCACTTTCTCGGAAACGCCTGGCGGCCAGAATCCTCTGGTGTCAGGGCAGGATCGGCGCCCTGAACAACGAGACATGAGAACTTTCGAAGGGCTCGTCGAGGGCACTTGACCTCGGCGGCTGATCAGGAGACAAGGATGCTGTCGATCGAGCTCGTTGGACCTTCTCATGGATGGATGGATCTACAGCTCGCTCCACCGGTCATATTGCGACGCTCGAGTGCGCATTCACGAGCCCTGATCTGCTCAATCTTCTCGCGGTATTCATGATGGAACACTCCCGCGAGAAACCAGCAGATTTTCGTTCACTCGGCTGTTCAACATGACGCGAAGAGCGGACAACCAAGCCACAGAGAGTATAATTGAAGCTGGGAATCATTCACGGCGTTTTTCCCGAAATTTCATGGCAGTTTTCACTCCCCCATTGACTTCCTATGGAGGATCGCCTGAAAATACCGTGGAAATTCACGGCTTTCGGCGCGATCGCGCCAAATTCCCAGCCCCGGGCGTAATATTCGAAGCCTGGCAGAGACTTTCTCTACGACTTGTGAGAAACTCTGACTTTTGAGGAATATACATATTCGTGAGCGGATGGTGTATCATATTTCATATTGTGATGGCAAAACCTCATCCAGGGAAACTCCGGCAATGATAGAAGTTTTAAACGGAAGAAACGGAATGACATCATTATCTTGTCGTGTCATTGCGAGGAAGGGCTCCCTGGATTCCAGGATCGAGATGATCCTTCTCATCCGTATTGAAGGTCCCCGTCTCTAGCTGCCGGGGAGATATGTCCCTCCGTTGCGTTGAGCTTCAGTTTATTGGCAAAGATCACCAAAGGAGTGGCTCGGCTCGAGACCCACGATTGTGACGAGGAATCATCCTGAGGCTCCTTTCAGACAGAGATGTTGTTGACACTTTCTTCCTCATCCTTCGCGTTCAGAGACCCGGAACATTCATTATACCGTCGTTTGTCTCCTCGCTCATCGGACCTTGTATCTCCGTGCTGACCCACGAAAGGCGAGGCGTGTGCTTGCGCCCGGGCGGCTGCGAGTGATCGCAAGATCTAGGAAGTCCGGTATGGATTCGGATTGAGCTATGACTCCCTAGCGAGACGGGAGAGTCCAGTGGATGGATGCTAGAGCGAAAAACTCTCCCATCCAAGCGAACGACCAAGAATTGGTTTTTTCGCCACGAGGAAGCTTAGCTCAGATCATCGATTCCAGAGACTGTTGAATCTTCCCACGGAATTTACCTGATCGATCACAAGCTTCTCGAGGTCGATGATTGAATCGAAGGTGCATTATGGTCGTAGCCTCCGGATCGCGAGCTGGGTCATTCTTCCAGCGACCGTATACTCCGAACGCGGGACTGAATTTTCTGCGGCGGAATGTCCACAAAAATTCCTCCCGGAAAATTCATTTGGCATTGTTTGCCGTAGATTCGATAGTGTGGTCGACGGTTCCGACTGGATAAGGGAGCCGACATGATGGGCGGTGGGTTCAATTGAGTCTCTCTACTGGAAGGGTGCGAGCATCGCAGTGCTCATCGCATCGGATTCAAGTAATTGGGCTGCTAGCACATACCCTAACGGTTCAAGTGCCACCGACCGGAAAATTCCGGCTCTAGCTCCGTGATGATTAAAAACACGAGGTCCACCGCCTCGATACGACATTCTAGCGGAAACTACTGCTGTAGCACTTTTGGAGAGCCTAGAGGCGCTCCTCGTAGAAGGTGATTCGGGATCAAGGGAAAAGTGGTGTTGGAGGCGGAATGACAGATTCCAGCTGTTGATTGAAGGGCGGAGTTCCGGCTCTGGATCGGATTGACTCACATAATTCCTCTCAGCATCGGGAGAGTTCTCGCGCCTCTAATAGGTTCCTCAGGGCAGAGGCGCGAGTACATAGGGGGCTGCAGGGCCTCCTCTGGTGTCTATAGACGGCACGGGAGGGAATCACGCGCGCTAGCAGATAATGACGACAGCTCACCTCGTTACCGCTGATCGACGGCCCCGCATCCCTTATCGGCTTATTGCGATACAGTGAGGGAAGCCGCATGTGATCGGACAGTCGCGCTTCCCCTCCAAGAAGAATCGCTTCCGGGAATCTGATCCCTCAAGAGTGGAAGCGAGAGCTAGAGACTCGGAGATTGAAGAGGGTCTGAAACGAAATTCGAGCACGTCTCCGACTACCTCGTGGGGTCATTTGACCTTTTCTTAGGTTCTCTGACAACGATTGCTGCCGACAAAACTTCCGATCGACAGTCCTCGCTCCTGTTCGTTTCGTCTCGGGGGTTCCAACGAGGGTGTCTGTCGCTCGCGGCGAGCCCGTCCCCATGGAGATTCCCTAAGGAAAGAAATATGGCCCGGGAGAGCTCCGAAAAACACGTGTACAGTGAGTCGGACCCCGTTACTAGAAGTCCCTCGATCTCTAAACTACGAGCGCGGGTTGGACATGGAAACTCATCGATCGTCAGCATCAGCGAATTCTAGGGTTTCCAGGAGGATCAATCTACTCCGGGTCGTTGTGTCAAAGGGCAACGCTACGAAGCCGATCTCGTCAACGAAGATTACCTATCGTCAATCAATATTGAATAAACGGTTCGACTCGGTATGTTCAAATGTTTCAAGTCTTATTTATAGCGCATGGACAAGACGTCTTCGGAAACGTTGCGAGGTGTCGATGCTTCGACCAGCAACTACTATGGCTGAAGGGTATTGTTAGATCACAGGGTTCAAATGGTGACCTCCTCGTTGACGAAGCCGAAGTCAAGTGAGCATACATATTGGGAGCCGTATCCGGTTTCTGCGTTGGTTGAAGTTTTCGATGACGACGTCGAAGACGACGAGGCTTCTTCGACCGGGCCATGGAATTCGAGATCTGTTTCTACGCCAAGATCGGGCAGCGTCAAGCCGAGGTCGTTGCAATCTTCGCTGAGCGATTGTTCTTCCGTAGGCATGATTTCCGAATGGTTGGGCCTCCTCGCGGATTTCCGATGTTTCGGGTACTTTGAACGTTTTTTCGGTGGATCTGGTCGCGGCTCGTTCAGGTTATCGTCACGGTATATACCCATCCCGGTCATCTCGTACCGTTTCACTCCGGCTTCGTACGGGTTGTGGCGATTTTCACCTGGCCGACGTCCATGCCTTGGAACCGGGCGGATTTCCAGCTGGCCTTCACTCCGCAACTTCTCCAACAATCTATCCACAGCTGCACACCGCCGTCTGGCCATTGAATCTTTGGAGTTTTCTGTTTGCAACTGACACAAACACCAGCCACCGAATGAAGAATGAATTTTATCTGAGCAGAAAGCTTAGACGAAGTTAATCGCTAAATCATGAGCCTTTTTATGATGATCGATGATCATTGGAAAAGTCGCACTGCTCGAAAAATCGAGATATCCTCACTAAATCCCCTGGGAGGATCCGAAAGACGTCAGATAATTCCTCATCACTGGCTGTTTGACCACGATCTACCAGGAAATTTTTCATGGCCTAGAACAGTTCCGCTCAGCTCATCGGAGAAGAGACTCTCGCAAGTCACTAAGTGCTTGATTTGCAACTGAAGACATGGCGAATTTCAGACCAGTCGTCTGTACGCGCCCGAGTAAATATTATTGATCAGGCAAAGGAAGGAAGAAGCTCTGTCAGGAATGATATCCGCGCCGGGCTTCGATATCGACACTGCTTCCGGTCAGGTCGAGAGAATCGCATCGCGTCAAGAGACGGAGTACAGAGATGACTTCCGCATATCTCGCTCCCGGGGGGTCGGTGCGGTGGTCTGTAAGGGAGCTCGAGGAAAGATTCATGTTGGCATCGGGCCGGCTGCAGCATAGCGCCAAGTTAGGAAAGGGGGACCTGGTCCAAATCAAGGATACTGATTGTGAGGTACGACTGTGCATCATCGATGAGCCGTCACGAATTCTTCACTCGTGGCCGTGGGGTGACATCGGGTTTGCAGGAGAAACCATCGACCGAGCAAGTATCGTTCCTGAGGATCTATTCTTCTCGGAGCTGAAGGTGCGAGGAATCGAGATTTTCTCGAGAGCTGAAGCTCAATCATGTGACCGAAACCATGAGATGAACTTCCAGCCCGCGCAGATTTGGTCTTACACCGATCGACGCAAGAAGCGCTCCTCTAAATGCTCCAAGGCTCCTGCCGAGGATGCGTTTCCGCGAACAGGCTCCGAGGGCGAGGATTTGGGAGCTCTGGGGCAACGTTTGGCAGACCCGAGATGGACAGCCTCATGGAGTTGTTATCAGGACAGAAAAATTCTGTTTTTGGGGAAAACGATCATTTACTATTTTTTGAGCTAGATAGTTGAAAATAACGAAGTCTCTTCAGGTTCGAAAACTATCCCCTCACATCGACGATCCTCCCGCATCTGCTACGAATTTAGCGAAGAGAGCGCCGAGGGCGCAGGACCGGGCAAAATCCGATCCGGAGTCTTCCGGAATAGTCTGTATATAATTATGATGATGTAAACACTTACGAGATAGTCTGGCTACCGGTGAGCAGATGTATCATTCTGTGTAAAATAAATTTTCTCTGATTAAACGGGAGACACAAGTCGCTCCGGGTGGTTGAACACTTCCGATACTTCCTAAAATCACTTTCAATACTAATGGTCACCGATCAGAATCTTAAAGGATAAAATTGAGGGCTCTATCAGCGCTCACTGACCACAGGGATTCCATCTTCGTTCGTCATGTCTTCATCGGCCAACGTGAAATCGCGTTTCAATTCCCCTGCGGCATCTAACACAACGAGATCGGCGGAAGCATCATTCAAAATCCTAAAAATATGTTTCGGTCCCTTCCTTCTCATTTGCATGCAGTGAAGGCGTTCGAGCAGACAACATCGTTCGTTTAATGGCTGGAATACCGAAAGGGTCCGCCGCAGGATATGTTCAATCTCGACGAGATTTCCTTCGAGCTTCTCGACACACTGAAGGATTCTACAAGTGAAATCAACCAACAGTTCCAGACGGTCGAGGTCTGCGGCGCAGTACGGTTGGATTTCGAGCAGTGTTCGTAATTCCCCCGCAAATTGCACACACCATAGCAGACATGCCGAGACCAGCTCTCGATCGGGGAATAGAAAGAAGCCTTGTTGCTCAAGTGAGTCTTCTACTCTCCGGATATTTTTCACGCTCGCCCAGTCTCGCTGTCTGAGGAATTCGAGAGCGAAAACCGAAATCTTCTTCGAGTACTCTCTCCTCAAGAGAGCGTCGCTGAAAAGATAGCTGTCGCCGGCGTACAGACGCGTGATAGCCAGAGCCTGGATCCGTAGCTCTTTGGCACGCATGGCTTCGATCTCCTGCACGGTTCGGAAACCTTGGATCCTCGGTTCGAGACAGAGTATATCGTTCGATAGTCGACTCTTATAAGTCCCACCCGATTCGTGATAGGAAAGCGCGATTCTCCAAAGCGATTTACCGCGCGCAACGTTGCCGACAATGACCTCATGGGCTCCGAGAACCTCATATATCTGAGCCCAGCTCTCTAGCGTGGCCTGCTGTCGTTCTAGAATCTCAGATGCGAGGCGATCATGTCCATTACAAGCTGCTATCAATAGGTAGTCTACGTAAAATTCGCTAGCAGCGTGTTTGTCATAGTCGAAGAACTTTTCTAAAACGTGCACCATACGCTCGTAGCTACGACAGGCCGCATACTGAATCGGTAGGGGAGGGGCTGGATAGCTCCAAAAGTCGCGGGACTTCGTGTTCACATCAAGGTCCATGGTGGAGTTCGAATCGACGTTTAAATCCAAACACAGCTCTACGATGTCGGTTTCACCGAGAATGCAGGCAAGCCACATCGCGCGAAGACGCAGTTCGGGATGAGAGAATCGCAAGAGCTCGGCAGCAAATAGACGTCGACTTACACCGAGTTGAGTGTTCGACATCAAGTTCCGGAAGCATTCCAGATCGGGTTTCGCCTGCAAACTCAATAACTGCTCGATCTTGGGCAGTGTGCGTGGTTTGGCTGATCTACACGCAGCACGCAGCGCAGTTTCTTGGCATTCCGAGCCGTCTCCCATATTGGAGAGAACTTCTTGAGTGTAGACTCCCAGATTATTTAGAGCGTGCGCGAGCTCTTCACCGAGGCTGCCTCCGTCAGATCTGCTGTCCTCCATCAGCCGACGGTGAAGCTCTTCTAGGCCTTGCTGATTAAAGTACTTGATGCTTATGTCCTCCATGACCGCCGTTCGGATGGGGTTCCGGCGCGCACTGATCTCTTGAGGATCATACGGTTCTCACAGGGCTTTCGTTATTCTTGTTGAGCGATCTCATTGTCAAGGGAACGACATGCTGACTATCGTCTGCATTCGGAGTGTGCGCGTTGCTCGCACATGAACGCCGCATGTCCGAGGTTTCAGCATCTCGTCGAAGGCACATTCGATCAAAAAGTGGAATGATACAAGTGTGCATAGCTGATCGCCCCGAATCTCAACCGCGATGGAGGAGCATTGCGGTTTCGGGACAGAGGTCCTCATCTAGCATGATAATTCGAGGCAATCATCGAAGGGAGCGTACGGGTTTTCAGAGAGATGCCTTGCATTCAAGGGGGGAGATGATTATCCGCCTCTTTCTCACTCCTCTGTCCGAATCGTAAGGGAATGTGGATCCAAGCTGATAGCGCACTTTTCCCGAGGTCCGAAAACGAAAGGTCCTGGAGAGGTTCGGAGGAGATATGAGGTTCGGTCGGCTATTTTTCAGTTTTGAAGCCATAGAATGATTCGCGAACTCGGTAAACTCTTTGGAACTTCATTCACTTTAGTTTATTCCGGATACGATATCTCAACAGGACAAAGACATTCGGCTATTTTCAATAGATGGGGTGGATAGAGAGTGCAATAATTATCAACAGTGATCTGAGCGGGTTCAGCGATTAGGCTGCCCCTGCTTCCCGAGGCAAGTATAGCACAGAATTGAGCCACACTCAGAATCTTGACTATACAGTATGTGGCAACTGATGGCAAGCTAGATGTCGAAATTCGTTCATCGAGGACGGCTCCCCTGGCTAATTGTCGCAACCCGCATCGGGTGATTGCTGCTTCGTGCTGTTGTAAATAAAGCCCTTCAGGAGTTCGACTTCGTCGCGGAGCTTGTTCACGTGAAGTTCTCGTAGCTTGTTCTCGGAGGCTAAGAGTGCTCTCAGGTTCCGGATCTCCTGAAGTACGAAAAAGTATCAAAATAGAGAGTCATGACCGAATTAATTTCCAAAGGTTGTGAAGGGAAGAGCGACCTCCTAATTCTCGATGATACGCACCACGAACGCTTTCTCTAGTTGCGCCTTCGTAGTCGCGAGCACGTCTTCCAATTTTTCCACTCGACTCCTCAGGGGCATATCCTCGCTGTTGATTTTCTGCGCGAAAACTTCTGGCAAGAAACTATAGCCATCGACGACGTCCAGCTGCTGCTGCTCGAGTCTGTCAAAAAATGTGGCGAGGCATCGAAACTTGTTCTCCCGGAGAGTCGTTAACTTTTCCATTTTCGATTCTTGGTCATCATCGCTGAAGTAATTATACGGCCTCTTACGCAATGCGAGCTTTCTCGAGCTGCTCCAAGGTTTCGTCTGATAGTCTGCCGTTGACACCTGGGGTCTCAGGTCGACTCCATGAGGGGCTGACGAGAGAGGACTTCCTGAGGAAGCTCGGAGTTTCTTTAAGTTTGTCGTCTGAGAAACTGAGGCTTTCTTCAGATGTCAGGACAGCTGCCGAGCCTCGCCGTGATACGTTCAATGCCTCTCGCCGCAGGGTTTCATGAGGTGCTGCAAAGCGATTCCTCTCCCCTGTTAGTATCGTCTCGTCTCGGAGGAGAAGGGAAAAATATACAATTGCCGTAATTCATCGGAGGACACACTTTCGGGAGTCGATGAGCTGTTCCACGAGTCTCGACGCTTCAGAGGAACGTCGGCCATTTTCTGATAGCGCATTTTCACGGGCGGGAGGATGAGCCGTTTCTCGAGCTCTTCCATTTTCAGCGCTTCTCTCTCCTCCGGAGTGCTCTTGATCATGCAGTCTGCCTCGTGGAAACTTTGATCTTGACGCCGTATGACGACCTTGCAGCCTGTAAATGTTACGAAGTCAGAGTTCGAGCGGGATTTTACTGCGAGCGGGATGTGGACGGTATTTCCAATCGGACTCGGGATTTAGATATAGTTTTCTATTGCCGACACCTCGGGGACAAAATATCGGTCGGAAGGGACACTTCTCCGTGTGTTCTTTCAGGAACGAGATCACTAGCTCGGGAGACTTGGTCCAGGTGTCAAGCTTCAGAGCACAACCGTCACCACCGCACCTGGAATTTCGGTTGTCTGGACTCTAATCCTCGAGTTTTCATAAAATCGAATGCTTGCGCGATTCAAGAGATACAGATGCTGCCCGAAGCCACCGCGATCTCTATTCGAATACACTCCGGACGCCGTTCAAGAATCCTGCCTCGAATAACTATTCGGGTTCGCTCCGTTAACAGCGATACTCTCTCACAGATGTTCGGGTCGACCGAGCGCTACGGATGACCATGGACAATTTCACTCAAAGCTTCGGCAAGCTTCGACGGATTCGGATCGGTTCTTTTTTTACACCACGAAAGCAGCACAGAAACAGCTAACGTTTACCGAGGTCAAATTATTCGCTCGAAGCTGATCGCTTATCACCGTGACTGGGGAAAGAATCGCAATTGTAGGATCGCTGCTTACCTCAGGGAAATTTTGTGTTCCCGACTGAATGCTGGGTCGCTGAAGTTTCTGACTAAGCATTCAACACAGCACAAGCACTCGTCGATCGCGCTGACGTCGACAACATACGAAACAATCCAAAGACTGTCTCTCACGGCACTGCAGTTATAACAAGCGAAGAGATGAGCTGGATCCACGCTCCCAGGTTTGCACACTGGGCCCATACCTGTCCGGGAGAAACACAGAGCATGATGAGCTCCCCCGCTTTGAACGACATTCCGGTCGTTCATAGAAACACTACAGTTAGCACCTCGAAACAGCCTGAAGACTATGTCATATGAACTCATCACGTAAATTATCTGCGATGCGCTAACGAAGCGGCACCCTATCACCGACCGGTGGCGCTTCGGCCGGTTCGCTGACGAGCCTCATGGTATTTCCAGAATGTCCTCTCGCGAAATCTCCCTCCCTTTCCATAAGACCCGAAGACGGAGACGGACCAAAGGCTTCGGTCGGAACTCTCCCTGAGAGAATCCGTTCGGACCGGATCTCTCTTCGGGGAAACATCCACAAGGGGGAATTATTCCCAACGGACACATGTGGTGAAAATAGCCGGCCTTCACAAGCTGTCACGAAAATGTTCCGCTCACGTCAAGTGAAGCGACGGAGCCTGGACCGGCAGATGTTTTCGCGACTTATTCTCTCGATGCTGTCTCAAGTGTCCGGTCTCCGTTAGAGAGAGGCAACCCGCTCTGTTACGGTGTCCAGAGTCCACTTGATCGCGTTCGATCGGCTCCAGGCCCAACGACGGGCGGAGGTTACGTACTTGCCGTTCTCAGCGGATGGGCACTGATCATCTCCCAGAGGTTTCTTCCGTGCATCGAATATTTACAGAGTGCAAACGCCTCGCAGTCTTTACACATAGTGTTGTCGAGCTGTATTAGGCGCGGCGGCCAAGACACCGCCGAGTGGAAACGCGCGATAGATCGATCGAGTAGATGGGCACTCAAGACAGCCCACATTGTTCTCTGGGCTGAGCGTGGAAAGATGCAGTCGGAGCGTCGTCGATACCGGTCATCACAGCAATTCGCACCCAATAATTAGCATATTAATCGCTCGGTTCGATCGCGACGTCGGCGTCGGTGGTGCATGGAAGGCTTTTGATTAGGCGGAGGCAGAGCTCGTCATCGTGTTCGATCATCCCTCCGATTATGTCTCGAGGCTTCGCTACCGGAACTTGCGTAAGTCACGGAGTGGTCGATTGGCATTCTCGCCTTGACGCGGGTCTGACATCGAGACTATCGCTGGCGCGGGAGGGATTTATCGATTTCTCCCATAAAGTCAACATTCCTTACACAAATCATCGCAGAATATTCAGCTCTATCGACCGCGATGGTGGTCGCCGATTGTTCTGAGAGTACCGAGAAAAACTCAAAGGAGCATCGACCTAATTTGGCGCACCTCTCCGGCCTGATAGTGAGTGTCTCGGAGAATCTAATCGCGAACTTGAGGACGAGGGGAGGGAACTCCGAGAATCTTCGCGAATCGTGGGTCTGGATCGGGCTCACGAAAACTGCTATCTCATTCACGGGATAATTTCTCAACGGATGGAGGGAGCGAATCAGGCATTATCCTTTTACTGCAGACTCAACTCATTGGATCGCCTACCCATCTCGAATTGGACAGGCTACAGAAAACTCACGAGTGCTCTCCTACCGCTGTGACCTTGGCTGCCGGACCACGAGCAGCACAGTTCGACAAACGAAACCTTCTACCACTGAAGTAACGGGCGTCTGTATCAGTCAGTACTTGCGGCGCTACTGCGGCAAGAGCGACTGCTGGCGCAGAGAGTGGACGAATGTTACCGCCCTAGAAGATGTCGCCGATATCGAGTCGATGGTCGGAACCGAATCAAGCAGCCGGTAGTGAGCGAATTTCTGTTCCGCTCACGTAGCTGGTAGCTCCCATTCGCTAAAGCTAGTTCTGTTGACAAGTCGGACCGCGAACGGATAAATCCTCTTAACGACTAGTCGATAGCATCGGAACGAGCAGCTCACGCCATCATGCTCCGAAACTCTGTACCTAGTTTCTTATCTACCGTGAGGCTCGTCTGAATTCTCCCATTGGTACTGACCTGTCATCGTATACGTTTTCGGTGTCTCGCAGGCGGACCAAGAACTATGAGCGAGTGTATGTGAATGGCAGCGAACGCCGTGCGCCAAGCTCCAGGCGTCAACTAGCGACAGCTTTACTGATAAAAAGTGGCAGCCTTAATCCGACCTCTCAAATGAGGCTTTCCCATACAGAGCGGTCAGAATGAGTACCGGCCATTCAGGGCGAAAGACAGTCCTGTGTTTGTAGAAGACTTCTCCGAATCGAGGCGAAGCACGGTGAGACAACGCCTCGCGAACAAACACTTCGCTTGGGAACGTCGGCGACGCGACGATGATATCGTACGATCTATGAGTTTTGATGGAATATTTTCCGTGATCGGCTCATGGAAGCCTCTGAGTTGGAATGTTTTAAGAAATGATTGGAATTTACGAGATCGTCAAAATGACGACCGGACACGGGCGACTCGCGACATACATATTAATCTCTCGCTGAACGATGTGTCGGGAATCGTACCGCAGACCGTCTTTAACCATCTCATCTTTCGTCCTGAATGCAGATCAGACATGGCTCGTACAGCGAAGATCAAACGGTTGCCAGATCTCGCCGCCGAGCCTGGCTAACCACGCTCAAACAGCGGTTTCCCCTAGACTACGAAGAATTTTCGAACGAACCGTTCTCAGTACAGACTCTGGTTGATCGACTGTAGCTTTGCTTTTACAGCGCCGCACGGTCTGCGCGACGGAGCGGCTGACCGCATTGCGGATAACGATATTATTGCTTTTCGCAAATACTGTGTGAATCATTCATTCAACGGCTCCATACCTCAAGCGAATGATCATGGTTAGGAGCTCGGAGGAGCCCTTTCATGCTGCTCGCAGATTCTGAATCACTGCGCGGTCGTGAAATTCCTAGAAATCTATTGTGTTATAGAAAAGAATGCTCCAGATTTCAATCGAGATAACATGTGCGTGGGAGTCGTCCTCGTTTCCCATGAATTTTGACTCCGAGGTGGTGATGCCGAAGGGAGCTCCTCAGAGATTTGATGAGTTTCGAAGAATTAGTTCGGAATCGAAAGGAATAATATGAATAATTTATTTTCCAAATCGCGATCGCTGAAGTGAATAATTTTCATGAGGATTCATTCCAGACGGATCACATATTTTCGAGCATCGGAACTCTTTTCTTTTCTGATAATTTTCACAACTTTTTCGCGTTCCCCCGAATATTTTACCTTTTGCCTCTGATTGCATGTTTCTCCTTCTCGGCATATTTCGAACGTCACACTATAGAGGAATTCATCTGCTGAGTGCGTCGATGGTGGGATCTCCGAACCGCTGCTCAACGTTGCGACGGTGCTCCCCTCATGGAGAGGCTTGCTCCAAGAGTCCGTGACGCAAGATTATCACAGGAATCATATCCCCCCCACATGCGGAGTGGGAGAGCCGTCTCCTGAGAAACTTCGGTGTCCAGCTCGATTCAAGCGTCGGATTCCAAACGAGACTCGAATCCGGTGGATCGCTTGAAAGAACTACGCGACACTTGTCCAAAACATCTCGTGGATTTCCAAGTCCACTCGAAAGTATTGAACATATCATTGGATGTTGGTATCGAGGAACTCATCCTGTGCGGGTTGAGGCTTCCCGTTCCCTTGGGTTGGTCTGATGCGGTCGAGGCTCGATGATGCTTGATCGCTCAAACCCACGGAGTCCAGCCTTCGTACATGAGCGCCAAATTGCCAACGTTGGTTGCTTCTTGGATAACTCGTTCGAGTTGGGAAGCAACGCTCATCTTGGTCTTCTCGAAATCCTGACCGTCCAGTTTGGTTTTGACCTTCTTCCATATCTGCATTCCCTGACGATTTCTCACGTCTTCGCCTTTGCTCTCGAGCAGATCCACGACCTGGAAAGGCCGCCGCGAGATGATCCTCTTGAACATGATTCCAAATTCTGGTATCACGTCAGATCCCAGTCCGATGCTCCCCGGGAATCCCTGATATGAACCCTCTGGGATTATTCAACTCACCCTGCATTCCTGAAGTTGTTCTCGAAGAACCTCGAATACGTGGTAGACACTTCCGATCTGCTCGGAGGCTTCGTGCACCATTTGCAGATCGACAGTTTCCGGCTGCTGCTCAGCGAATGATCGCAGAGCACACTGACAGGTGTTGTTGAATTGACCAATCGTGTCGAAGCAAACCTGAAAATCGACTCCGATTGATAGACCGTGAACCTGACGAGTTCCAGAAAAGCGCTGAGGTCGGACCCATGTCTCTCCCTCCCTACCTACCTTGACCGGGCTGAAGGGCAGTTCAGGCCATTGAGCATTTCTCATGAGGAATTCGGTGTGCTCGGCTGAGCGAACGGATGCTATCAATTCCACAAGTCCTTGAAGCTTCACGTCCGCGTCTTGGAGCGCCGCGCTAAGGACGAAAGAACATTCGGTTTCATCCAAGGCTCGAAAATGATCGGTTGTGATACAAAAAGTATGAGAACTGGAACCGAGAGTCTCCAAACGTCTGGATGGAACTCTAGGCTCGAGCGAGATAAGTTCAGCGTTATTAAAGAGCTAGACTACGGGATTGACACAGAGAAGGGTCAGAGAGGAGATTATATCAGCCCGAAACATATGAGGCCTAACCCGATAGGTTGCCACAAGACATCAGTCTGTATCCGCAGCTCCTGAACGGCCCTCGAGGTCTCGTCGATCAGCTGCTCTCGAGTTACGTCGGTGAGGTCCCCTTCCATGGCGATTCGGGAGTGACTCGGCTCGGCCAGAATCGTACATGCAGACATGCTCTCCTCTAGGATAGCTTCCCTGTTGACGATGATTGTCTCGCATATAGTTTGCTTCGATTCAATGTCGTCGGGATCAGCTGTAAGGAAGGAGGACGTCGGTCGTGAGTGAAACATGAGCGAGCCTAATTAAAGCGTTCGGATATCTCAAGGGTCTGCATACCGAGTTCCCCGCTGACTGAATTCATCGACGGCATATCCGGCATCGGATCGTCCAGCGTTGAGTTTATTATGGCCGTCAGAGCGTGAATCATCTTGGAGTCCCTCGCTTTCCTCGAAGGCGGAATTTCCGCGGTTGGTGCATCAGGCTGTACTTCGAGCATCGGCAGCACGAGGTTTTCGACCACTGCGGATATTCCCGCCAAACGACTCGCTCCGGACGGCACCGTTTGCAGCACCGAAAACAGCCCGTGAATGAGTTGCAGTTTTTCGATGAAACGAAGCTCTCCGAAGAGCGAATCGAGCTCGAGCAGGAGGGCTTGTTGCGGCGAGGCGAGACTCGCCGCCGGAGCGATCAGCGCTTCGTATTCCGCCTCGAGTTTCTCCGCGATTTCGTCACAGTCCGATGTGGCGATCATGCTCGATAGGAGTTCCATGCCCTCGCCGACCAGAGATTCTAGCGGAGAGTGGACGTAGTCGAAGTCCGAAATAGCGATCAGACGAGGTACGATGTCGATTTTGAACGAATCGAGCATGTCGATGAGACGCGCTGCGATTGGAGCCGATGATTCATAGATGACACGCGGATAGAACAAACTGTTCGTCGACGATTCCGCGCTAAACATCTGCGATTGTTCGGTCAGGTATGCGAGATCGGCGATTATGGTCTCAGGGTTGACGATGCTCTTCGAATGGAACCGCTGCAGCGTTTGTTGCACCGACTGGAGGTCGACATTCGCTACGACATGGGTGAGCCACTGATGCCATAGAGAAATCGTCTGGCCGGTGAATTTCGCCATTATTTGGATTAGAGGATCATCTGAGGTCAGGTACAAGCCGGCAATCTGTTTGCCCCTGATGAGTTTCCGGAGCAGCTGGAACCTTTCTTGCACACTCTTAACCTCATCGAGGGCGGTCGGGCAATCCTGCGAATGCGACTCAATTAGAGTTTGCGCCGAAAAATTAAAAGGTGGCCTTCCGCACCGATTCGCGACCCACCTGCAAGGCGTTGAGGAGCTCGATTTTGTCCCGGAGTAACGTGGCATGCTCACACCATCCCACGACATTGGCCGTGACCACGTTCCAGATAGCCCGCAGCTCCTGTTCGACCTTGATGAGACTCTGCAGGAAACTCTCCTCGGAAATATTGCCGATGAGCGCTTTGACCGCCGAACTGAGATTCATCGAGGTCATTGGCTTGCTGCTTGCCTGCCCACCTGGAGTTAACAAGAAATCGACGTTAAGAGGAATCCTGTAGTCAGCGTCTCAATCCGATGACCGCTGTCGTCCCGCTCGCTTTGGCGACTCTGCAGGGCAGATGTGCGACTTACCGACAGTCCAGTCGACCAAAGGGTCGTAGACGAAGGCTTCGAGGAGTGTGAGGAGCGTCTCGCGATTCTGCCGTAAGGTTCGTAAAATGTTTTCGGCTGCGACCTTGAAGCCTCCATTCAAACCGTTCAGACCGAGTGCCTCGGTCACTATCGGGGTCAATCGGAATGGAACTCGCTCGGCGACGCGCAGTTGAGTTCCTAAAATGAAATGAGGGCACTGGTGAATTGCACGTTGTTTTCGAACTTATCTAATGAAAAATCCTCGCGGGGTATTCATTCGGGGGCTGATTACGAATCTATCTGACCCTCGAGCCGAGGGAGGGGCTCTTGAATGGTCTTGGTTGCTTTGGAGAGTCTCACCTCTTTCGAAGCAGACGTTGTAATCAATGTGGATGAGATGACCGGATTTTACGTCCAGCAAAATGTTGTCGAGATGTCGATCACCGAGCCCGATAATGTAACCAATCATCGAGGTCACGGCCACGCTATTGATTAAAGAGTTCTGTCGAGCCCAAAACTGAGCCGGACTCGCCGAAGCTGCCCAAATCTCTCTGAGCAAGAGATCGCCAGGGGTTTCCTTGGTGAGTTCCTCCAAGACTTCCACGAGGATTTGCTTCGGCCACTCCCGGCGTTTGTCTGGCGGCGAGAGCGATTTCCCGGTTAAAAAGATCGAGCGGTCTAATGATCTCCCAGTCGAAATCTTCTCGTAGACTATTGCAGCTCAGAGTGAGGAGACGCTTAACATCCGCGAATCTCAATGAATTGCTTTTGGGCTCACCGGTGGGGATCGTGGTCTTGTTGAGTTTGGGGATCAGTTTGCTGTAGAACATTTCGGTCGGTCGCGTCGCGTAGCCTTGGGAAAGAACTTGATGTCGCTTGTAGAGCGTGAAGAGGGGCACGCATTGATCGATCCATTGTATCAAGCCGGACCGTCGCCCCATCGGAGTCACGGCGTAGCTTCGTGCAAGATAGCTGTTCTGACCGAACCGCTTGCTCAGGATTCGGTTCGATATCGAAATGAATTGCATTATGCGTTCGTCCAGGTGCAAATCCTCGAGACCTGCGAAGGGCATCAGCAATTCGGAAATCGGTTCTAAGGAACCATTCAACGGTGTTCTCTTTTTTTTCTCTCTTTCTTTTCTCCTCTATCAGTCGGCGATATCACTCGAAATCTCCGGTACCATGAGTCATGAGCGCTCAGACAAGGGTTATAGGAGGACCCACCTTTGAAAAGGAACGTGTATCGCACCCCGTCGTTGCCTATGAGCGAGAACTTCTTCGGTTTAGACTTCGTCGGGAGAACCAGCACCGTGGACGCTACAGACGAAACGGTTTTGCCGCTTTGGCCAGGTATGGGCAAAACCGTGTTCCGGAGCGAAGCCAGACGCGGTGAAATCACCGCCATACTCAGATGAGACTGAATATCTTCTTGAATCTTGTTGTTGAGTGTCGCGCACAGTGATTTATATTGTTTCTTGAGAGTATCGATATCCTGAAGGAAAAATAATGCTTTACCCGAGCGTCATCGACCATGAGTACCTTTCTGATTGTTCTGAGAATAATTAGCCTTCATGGGAGCATTATGTGAGTAGAGAGCGCACAAGTTATCGGATCTCTGCCGAGAATTCTGCGAGCCGAAAGATGAACACGGAAGAGAAATTTCTTCCTCATCCTTATTTCTCATTCGTCGTCGGAGAGAAAGACTCACCCGCGAGCTCTGGAATATTTCAACGGTCTTCATGAGACTGGAGCGGAAGCTCTCTTGGAACCACTCTTCGTGCGGAGTTTCGGCGCCAGCATCCAGGGTCAGAGCCTTCAAGTTCCTCAATAGATCCAAACACTGTGGGGATGATATTGGCTTGAGGATTTGAGCAGGAGCACGGGGTCGCACGAAGGAGACCGATGAAGTCGAAGTGTCATTGAAAGTCAGGACTCCCTTGCTCCGCCTCAGCTCACCGTTTGATGACCCCCAGGCTGCTGGAGTTGGGCGTAGTGTTGGGTGAGCGCCGTGATGCACTTTTCCTCCCAAAGAACGGAGATCCTCTCCATCTCACGAACGAATACCTCTATCTCGCTCATTTTGACATGGTTTTCCTGTCTGAGTGCCATGCAAATTTCGGCATAGGATTGTTTCGAGGTGTCGTCGAGTTCCTCGACCGCGATAGCCTCGCTGAAACATAGGTGCGTGTTTGCTTCGGTGGTCTGCCCATTTCCAAAGTTTCTGTTCCAGGTGGAGTCGAAAGAGGGAGGAGAATATTCGGAGAGCTCACCCGTCATCCTCCTGAGTGTCGCCACCACTCTGGCTCAGTTCTTGACTCTCTTCCTGCTGGAGTCGCCGTATATTGGTCAATTTATCTTCTCGAGCGGCGCGGTCACCGACAATTGCGGGATACGCAACAAGCTGGAGTGAGGTTTCCCCAATTCTGCCAATCAATCGGATGAGCGTTTTCCGCACGTAAACTTCTTGATGATTGAGACGTGCGAACAATTGCGGGATGATTGCGTGCCAAGGTTCTGGAAAATTCATCCCAATCATCATTTTCCGACATGAGGTGAACTTTTTCTGCATTGAACACTCCCCAAAACGAGCCTGCGGTAAAAAAATAAAAAACATTCCATGAGCTCACCAGTGACAATGTTCCCGCTCATGTTGCTCTCCAGCGTATCTTGCAGTGAGTGAGCGTGTTTGACGATCAATCGGAGCAGACGAAGAGTCGCTTCGACCTGGGTCGCGTCTGAGCCCATCGGGGACAATTTCAAAAAATGGAAATAAGAATCTAATGCCGTGTGATAATGGCCGAAAACCCTCTGCTGGATGCGCAACTCGATATCGTAGAGCTCGTCTGTAGCAGCCTGAAGGGTGGCAGGTGGGAGAGTCGCAGGCAACATGTCAGAAATCTGCAAAGAAACATTTAACTTTCATGTTAAACGGATACTCCGAGCGCTCCCAAAAATACCATCATCCAACTCCTCAAGAATATCGGAGGATAAATTCACGCAAAGTCACCTTCTGCTTCTTCGAAGAACAGCCACAGCTCCCGGAATCGCAGAACTCGACACGACCAATGATCGAGCACATGGGAGCTACGAGCTGGTGGAGACCGAGGGGCAAGAGGCTGTCCGATATTAGTTTCTGGTCCGTGGCGGTTATCTGAGTGTCTCCAGACTCAATGTCCCTGCGAGGAGGCGAAAGATTGATTCATTTCTAGCCATCCGGGAGAACGCGAGGTATATATCCTTCAATAGAAGAGGCCCAGACGAAGATACGTACTTCTTGCCACATCGGTACGACCAGTCGGCGAACTTGAAGTACGCCTTGGCGTAATCGGGCTGCTGTTTGCACGCTTGCCTCAACAGCATCCCCACTCGCCAAGAACTTTGACTCTCGAGCTTCTTGTCGGGGGGCGATTGCATGAGTTTCGCGAGAGTAACCAGGGAGCGCACATCTTTGACTTCACCGCCCGATAATATTGTGATGGCTGCCTCCCAACCATCTAAAGCATGGATGAGTTTGCTGAATTGTCGATTGGCCATGCCGGAGTCGAAGCGGATCGCAGCTCTCCTCTCCGGGTCCATATCGATCAGAGGGACTCCGTCGTCCTCCACCTTCGCACAGAAAACACGAATTAGCTCTCGACGTGCGGTGAACAGCGGAACGACCCGGGACATATGCCTGTCATCGCTTCGGGGGTAGAGGAACTCCTCACCTTCTCGAATTTGCGCAAAGCATCGAACGCTAGGTTAAGGTTGGACTTCTTGCGTTGTGTGGAAACGAAGTTCTTCACCTTAACTTCATCCCAATTCACCAATTCCTCACAAACTTGTAGACTCTTCCGGCATCCTTTGATTTGATCCCTGAGTATTTCGGAGAGAATCGAGTTGTCCTTCAGCTTGAGTTTCTCGTAGCTCCCGAGAGCGACTTCGAACTTCTGCCCTGCGTGCAGAGCACTGGCCTTGAGCCATTGTCCGAGTGAATCGGAAACTTTCTGGGTGTTCGAGAGGAAACCCGAGAAACTCAGCAAGCGATTCGGAGCCTTCAGTTCGATCGCCGATCTCACGTACAGGGATGCGAAGAAGCTCAACTGATCTTGATTCAATGATATGGTCTTGTTCTCAAAGAGAGATTCGACCTGCCACAGAGCGAAATGAGGTTGCGAGCGATTGAGGGCTAATCTCGTTATATGCGATCTCAGTCTCTGTAGCCATTCCTGGCAAACGCTTCTGTTCGTGTGGAAAAACTGACGACACGCCTGCGGGAGAGAGTCATATTTTTTGAGCGCGATAATCACCTCGAATGTCCTTATAATCGTGTCATATCATATATAGTAGCGAATCTGCGTGCCACTGAATCTTGTTCGGGACTGACCTTGGAAAATGTATTGCTGACCGTGACTGTTCCTTCCGAGGCGAGATACATGCACCTTTCAAGATAATCGACGAACTTCAAGATCATGATGCCTCGGTGTTCATCCAGCGTGCTCTTCAGAACAGCTTCCACGAAGCTAGAAGACAGGAAATTTTTCAAATGCAATCGTTCCGAGCGGGATACATGGAGCCCCCGATAAGAGGGGCAAGGAATCAGGGGACTCGGATTCGAAACTCACCCCAGAGTCTCGATGGGTTTCCCGAGGTAACTCTTCAATTTGTTATGTACCAGATAGTGAGCGCTCTGCCATGCCAGCCACGTCCAGAGAACGCCGCTGCAAGGCACACACGAACTTCCGTCGCCTTCACTCTTGATGTACAGCCGCAATAGAAGTGAATTGGATAATCTGTGACGTAATTAGGATTTGATTAGGCCGAGAGGAGTGTAGTTCCCAGACCTGCCCAGCTCCCTCTCTCTTGGAATACGCTTGCGAAGCTTCTTTAATCGACTTGCAGGGCGTCTGCCTCTATTTCCCTATGACTCATGACCAACCTCACCTCTCTGCTTTGCCCGAGACGTATGTCATGAATTTTTTGAAGCCAACGAAATGAGCTCCTGTCCATTCGTGTCTCTGGCTTAGGTCTTCGGTCGATCCGGTCAGGGAAATCGCCTCAACGACCTCTTTGTCTTCGGATGTGAGGACCCCGAGCTGTTTAACGGCGCTAAGAGCCTCCTCACTAAATGTCCATCCATCGAGGAACAATAATTTATGGAGCAAAATCATCGCTTTCTCCGCCATTGTATCCTTCCATTGTTTGATTATGAAGTCGGTCAAGGCTTTCACGAGCTTGCTCATTATCGGAGACTGCGCTAACTGATCGCTCGATGATAGGGCAGTGTGCGACACCAGATCCTCCAGCCACATAAGGACGTAGAGCCTGCAATTGGGCGATACAATAGCAAATTTTTGACATGTCGGTGCCAGCGGTATTTCTTCCGAGACATGCTCAGCCCACGGCACGATCAGTTCAGGAATCTCGGGAGTGTTCCACTCACGTTGTATAACCTCCGGCAGGCAGCTCTGAGATCATGAGTTCGATGACCATCCTCAAGTAATTCGCAGATATCGACGTCGACGGTCCTATGAGATCGGAGGTACTGATGAAGTGTCCTCTGCTTGCAGAATGCGTTCGGAGGAGCTTCAGGATCTCAGGCTTGACCCGTTCCTCAACCATCGGATCCCCAACCAGCGAATGGAGGAGTTCGAAGAGAGACGGCCTCAGAGCGAGTATCTGAGGAATTCAGTCAATGTCAGCCCAAACGATTCGACGGAAAATCTCATTGGGCGGATCCGGGTTCGGGACGGTTTAGCTCACCGGTATTATTGAATCTCTCGTTTCCGCCATTCCTTTCAGCGCCTCGACGGCTGCCAGAGCGGTCGAAACATTGGAACTCCGAAGATCGTTCCTGAGGTGTTCGAAAGCTCCTTGCACCAGAGCAACATCTTTCAACGCCAATAGGTCTCGACACACCTCAGCGAATCTCTCCTGGATTCGGATGTTCCGATTCGCTCGGAGATGGTACAAAGCTCCCAGAGGAGAGAAGAGAGAATGCATGAGTTTCATCTGCGAATCAAATATCCCCGTGGAGGCATCACAGACCGACTCGAGCTAGGCCATCAGATACTGATGTATATCTCGACCCGATTGCAAAATTTTTAAAGAACAACAGCACTCACAAGAACTTCGCCCTCAACTCCACTGCCGATCACAAGTGAGACGAGGCTCAAGAGACCCTCAAGGTAACGAGTCTGGATTTTGAAACGGGGCGCGTGATTGAGCTGTAGTGTCAGGAACGAGCAAACATCTTCTGGGCAATCATTGATGAGCACGAAGAGCGAGGAACACATGACGTTCGCCTCCGTCAAGAATCCCAATAGTTTGGGCGACTCGTCCAAGTACCTTAATCATAAGAGATTCCGCTATATATGTCTGATGACGCTTTCTGTTTCCCGAATACACCTTTGTTGAGGTGTATTACAAGGAGCTGCCCCATGCTTTCGTAGGTGGAGAGCTATAAATGTGGCGATGGATCTACAAACTTTTGGACGGCCAAGAGGTTCTGCACTAATTCCGGAGCTTTGACCTTGATATCTACTTGATCTTGAACGGCAATGGCAATGTTCGTCATCACCAATATTATGGAACAAAGTTTGTCGATGACGTCACTGTGTCCTTTCAGGATACTCTGTAAGGGATGGAGCATGATTTCAAAATTGATTTCTTCGGCGCTTCAGCTCATGCAGCTACCTGTAAGGGCGCCCTGCAATTAGTCGTCTGGCAGAACTTTCCGCGAGCTCTTACCTCTCGGAACGACGCGATGTCCTCTTGGAACTGCTTTATGAGACTGACCGAGAAACTCGCATCCGATGAAAAATATGGAGCCATGGCCGACAGCGAGGAGGCCATGAACAATGCAAGATCTTGTCCAGCGGAGCCATCGACATGCCAGCCAATCAATATGTCAGAAACATCCTGTAAACGGAACAATATCTTGAAAATCGGAACCCGAACCCCTACTAGATGCGATATGTGGCTTTTTCAAGCATTATCTGATCAAAGCCAGGATATGATCGATGATTTTACCATGAAATACTGTGAGAAAATGGATTCGTCATTCGCGTAATACAAGAAACCCTCGATTATAGGCTTCAGGACGGCAGGATTGTTGGTTTGTTCCAGCATTTGATACAGCGTTCCGAGCAGCGTTTCGGCACCGATCGATAGCATCTGATTCTTCCAGAGATACTTCGAGACTTTTGTGATCGCATTCAGAATGGAGATCTTGCACAGATCTCCTGGCATGTCGACGTTCTTCGCCAGAACCTCAAGATATGCCTGAAAACAAGGCTCAGCATTCGGTATCACTTTCTCGACTTGTCATGGATCTGGAATTTATCGGGACCAGATGAGTCAAGCCTCACCTGCAGCTGAGGAACCTCATCTTCGATCAGGATTCGCGAAACATAAGCTAAGATGTCGGTGACGTAGGATCTCGAAGTCTCATCGGACGGACAGTTCAGAAGGTAGCTGCACAGGGAATGTGCCAGAGTCATCGCATGCTTCTGGAAAACCCTCCGCACAGCAGTCGTATTCACACAATTCATGTGAATGACTTCGATTTTGGCATCCGTCATCCGATCATAGCGTGGAGATCCGTTCAAGCCCGATAGACAGTTCTCTAGATCTGCAACGTCTCAATTGATACGTATTTGAGAAGAATCGCGCAGGAATCGAAAAGCCAGATGCCGCTCGAGGCATCAAGAAAGAGACCCTATCAAATGAGTTGCTTCTTCTTCGATTCGAATTCTTTTTGACGCCCCCTCTTGACAGACCTGAGGATTGACGGCTCTCGCCGTCATCGTTCCGGTGTCTCCTATTCCCACTCATGATTCAATTATCATCCACCGATCATTTCCAGAATGTCTTTCGCGAAGCCGCTATGTTTGATTATCACCACTCGCTGAAGTTCTTTCCGCGTATCCGAACGCCGAACACCTGGGCTATCGGACGGAAGGCGGAGAGAGCGGATCCGGGTTCTTGTCTTCCTGCCGTCGAGATATCGGCCCGGAGAGCGGCAATCGACGCTTTCTCTGAGTTTGCCACGAGAAACAGCGCGGAACGGATATATCTGACCGAGGACTTCGATGCCCCATGTCAATCAAACCTCGTCGTTCGTCGACTTCCGAGAGTTAAGATCCCTGTAAACAGAGCTGTCACGCGTGGCGCGCGATTTATCTATTTTCCTCCTCGCCTGCACCGTTACAGACTTGAGCTGCGTTGCCACTACAATGATTCATCCAAATAAGAAAATCCTGGGCGATGGACGGTTCCGCAGTGAATTACGGCTCATGACTATTGGACACATGGACTTTATTATCATTGACGTCCGCGCATCCGTATCCTTGATTTTATTCGAGCGGGAGCCTCGATGGCCCATTCTCTTCGAAGGACGAGAGCGAGGACTCCCACGCCCCATCGAAAACTTGAGGTTTTCGAATCTGATTCTGTGGATCCTTGTTTCCATTGTGATGCCCTTCAGGAAGCTCGGCACCCAGGAGATTCTGGACGTATATCGAACGGAAAATCTTGCACTTGAGAGATCGGTGGAGCTTCCGCGCGATCGCGGGAAAGGATAACATCATATGAGCTCCTTGGACCTGATTCTGTTACTTTTGTAGAGGAGCTCGTGTAAGAGCACTTTCCTCGAGTCCGAGTGTATAATCTGGCGGTTCTCAAAGACTCGCCAGTGTGCAATCTGTCCATCGTTGGAAATATTTAGGGAGATCCCTCAATTTTAATGTTTTCAAGGTGTCCCTGTTGGCTCGAAGCAGCGAGTCGGATGGTTTCCCCAGCGATCGTCCGAAAGGCCTCGCGAGGGATTATTCCCCCGTCGATGCCGGACAAAGCGCTCTCTCCCTCCGCTGACGTCAAATACCCCAGCACTCCGCTCGGGAGTAAAGGCCCCGCTCAACTTTGGTCCCAGAGAACTCCTCGGGACCTCGAAACCCCAAGGACCGGCATATCGACTAGACTGACCGGTGATATGATTTGGTGACTATGATGAAAGAGGAATGCTTTTTAAATCGATCGGTTACGTAATGCCAGTACTTTTGAGTGTACAAACGAGGTCCTGAGTTCCGCCGCCATGCCTTGGAACGTCTAGCAGAAAGAATGGTTGCAGCGTTATTTCGTAACTGGTAATACTTTATTAGTCCGTTATCATTTGAATGAGATGAATCAACGGATTTTACACACATTGATCATGAATCATGAATATTCGAATTGCTCCGCACAAAGAGTTGTAGCTCTGCCGTTGTCGAAAAAATGCCGTCTCCTCTCCCTCTTACATCAATTCCGCATGTGTTTGGTTCAACTTCGTGCTTTTGACTGACTGATGTCGTGTTGAATTTGTTTTTACATAAAATAAATTATCGACGATCATCGATGTTTCTCTTCTCCAAATCGTCAAATAATCAATCAATCTTTCCTAAAATCGTCCTGCTCTCGGGTTTCCGTGGTTTCTGGCTCACCGGCTTCGGAATTCTGCCTTCAATTTGCGGGAATCTCCCGCAACTTTCATCCTGCTCAACAAGGCCTCGAGCTTTGAGTTCTGCTCGCAGAACTCGCGCAACAATTCTGAGACATTCCATGATCGACTCACTGAGAGAGCGCCCCCAAAACTTCTGAGACTTTTTGGATTCCAGGCGAACATGGGCTGATTCCGGACTTCTTAGCTTCGTACTCAATTTCCGAATCTCATCAGGACTCGATCATCTATATCCTCATAGTCTCTGTGGTTTCATGTGATTCTCGAATCTCGGCGCTTTATCGTTGGACTCATCTGAATCTTATGCTCGCTTATATATATCTATATATAGCTAATATAAATGTATATATTATTCATTGTGTTCAGTCACCTCTTGAAATCTATGCACAAGTTCTCGTTCGACGGTGACACATTATGTACAAATCATTTCAGTATCGAGGACGCCAATGCACTCCGTGGACAACTTGAAATTCTATCAAGATTCTCTAGATTATACACTCCGACAATTCACTTTAAGTTCAACGAAAAATGAGTCCTTCGACGGATCATGACCAAACATGCATCGGAGTCGGAATCTTCATCTGATCTTCCTTGACAAACTGAGGATCACTTTCGACTATGGGCAGCTCCGGACCTTCCGTCTCGCAGAAAGACTGCTGGAGAAAATAACCAATGATCTAGCGTGAATTCGTTGAGTCGGAAATCGTCAAGGATCTTGTCCGAGGCATGATTCCGAATCCACAGTCTATTAGCTCAGATCATTCCCAACGTCGCACCCGACTCTCCGATCACCTAGACCTAGAGAGTGTCCGCGGTATTCTCAATAATTTCTCGAGAAAACGATGAGTGGACTCATTCCCGAACGTGACACCTCCAATAGCGATCCGTTCTTCGTCCGAAGGTGCACGCAACGTTATTCTGTTCTACTGAGCACGTGTTGAATTTTTTCAGGCACACACTTTTATGTATTTCTCCCTTCCAACGTCTTATCTTCATCGGAAAATTCAGCCAAGCTACACTCGAAATGATGTCGTGCGGATCGACTTCTGTTTCTAACTTCGATCAATCTTCGGCAACAACTCAAACTTCATCTGGATGATAAAAAAATATGAACATATAAATATACGCGTATACGTTTCATTTTATCTTACAGAGAGCATCGTATTCTCACGCGGATGATGATGACGCGGGATGAAATGTACAAACACATGCTTCTCGACGATGAGACCCACGACGAATCCTCTCTCAGCAAGCTGTTTCTGAGCTCAAAGAGTCAGGCTCCTGAGGGAGACTCAGCGAGTGGATTCTTTTGGTTTAAGCTGACTCTAACAATTCCACTGCATTAGCTAGCCCAGTCCGAACCTGAGGTACAACTCGAGGACCGTATCTCGCTTCTAGCAATGGTTGCAACCTCCTGACTGAATCATGCATCGTCTATATACCCTCTATGCATCTTCTCTCTGGCATTCAATGAAATCTTGTTCTCTGCTGTGCCACCGGGTGTTATATACAACCTCGAAAGACAACCATTCGTTGTGACCTTCTTACGACCTCAGGGAGTTCCTCCTTGCTCCAACTGTTGTTCGACTCGCACGGTTCGAGCAGTGATACTCAAGACTCACTTTCATTTTCGTCTGACCTATCGAGAGGTTCTACGCTACGGCTCCGATGTATCTAGGGGTTTAGCTCCAGTTGATCACTAGGGAATTATCTCTCAGTTTCCCATAAACATCCGAGTCTGATGATGTCTACTGTTGAGCGCTGTCACCGTGTTGTCAAATCTGTGTCTCGAGGAGGTCGTTCCTTGAGGGGTCGTCATCGGGGTTCAGGGCCACGACATTGGCAGGGTGGACCATCCCATGGTCGATCGATGCGTACGAAGTATCCTGTTGGGTACTTTGGTAGGTATGGGTCATCGTAGAATAGAACGATGGCTGAACGATCTGCGGGAGGACTGGCCGCATGCCCGCTACATTCGGGATCTGGAATAGTAACAACCACGAATCACTCATCGTGAACACGAGGCTGGTGGGGTGGAGACAGGAAGCCTTGTGCGATGAGAACCTCGGAGTTTTCGAGAGAAATTCTCACTATTTCATCTATGTATATCAAACCTCGAACGAATCTCAGGAACTTCCGAGCTTATCCCCTGAGCTTCGGAACATTCGGATGAGACGAAGGGGAGAACTCACCATGAAGGGCTTGGGCGCGACCTCAGGGGGTTTCTTTCGCGGACTGGCCTGGGGGAGTCCTACCGTGTTAATGTTGGACAGTGGCTGGGCGGCACTTTGAGAACTCTGGACAACCATCTGGCGTTCCGTTGAGGCAATAGAACTTTCCTTCGAATAATAGTCACTACGAGGGCTGCTACGGTCATCACTCGAGGTCGAGTGGTGAGTCTGTGCCTCCCGGACAGGAGCCAAGTTGCGACCCTGCAATCGAGACATATGCGCTTATTCATGGACACGGCGAGGAGTGTCATTCGAATGCGGGGTTTCAATCGACTCGTCTCGGCTCTCGAATGAACTTGGACGTCCAAAACGTCCAGCCGAAATCAATGGCTCGAGGAAATTACCTTTTGCGAGTAATGGCCAGCGGAGCCAATTGCTTTCACTTGTTGCTCCCCGCTGCAATCACTCGGAGGAGTTGGGGACTGGGAATGCCCGGCCATCTGGTGAGACATCGCTCCCATCGGGCCTTGATTTCCGAGATGACAGTGGTTCATCGGGGTCGCGGCTTCGTCGCTTCCGTTCGAATCCAAACCTTCGCTGGATGAAGCCTCGCGCTGTCGCAAGATGTGGATTCCCACCTGGAATGATGGATCCAGAGTCAGGGCGTTTCATGTTCCGTCGTCGCTGAGGAATGCGAGCGTGCGTGCGTGACGTACACCAGTCGGCATACTTGACGTGATTACTTCGACGTCGACTTCGTCGAGGCGGCATCAGAAGCAGGTGGACGTGCCAGCAATGTGAGAAGCGCTTTCCCCGTGGGGAACTGTGCGCTGAAAATTCGTCTAGGAGACGTTCCGAGTGGGACTACCGTTTCTCATCTCAGGCTCGTTCGTCGGTTGGTTGATGTTTAGTTTTTTGTGGAATGCAATAACAGTGAAACCAACTGCAAGTCACGGCTGTTGGGAGCGCTGCGAGCGGACAGAGCTTGGCCCTTCTTCAAGAACATGAAATTAAATCTGCGTTCGTTCGTTCGTACCTTCCCTGCCCGCTCGCTCGCTCCGGCTTCCAATAGACGCAGAGCAGTCGTCGTTGCCTCAATGCTCAAAGTGTGAAGAACATATTGAAATTCTTCAGAGGAAGAAAGCGACGCCTTATCTTCTCCGCTGCCTTTTCGCCTAGCCGAGAAGACCCAGGTCTAGCCAAGCCAACGCTGTTTGCAATCGCTGGCAACGGCTGCAAGGAGCTCGGGCCGAAATTCTCAAACTGGCCTTTCTCATCCCTTGCGGTCAACCTTGGACGTAGCTGCGTCCGATCAGTCCACTCTGGGTCGCTTGGAATTCGGTCTGGCTGCGTGGGTGAACCAGGCGGTCGATCGCATAGGCAGTGACCCACCGAGATTCCCAAAGTCCACTCCTGCTGTAGTCAAAACCGGTTGGTGGAAGCCTGATATAGGAGTGCAGCATCAAGGTCAACTCATACCCCAATAAGAGCTGATTGATTCACATATTTCAGGGTGCCTGCTGCGAATTTTCGTCCATGCTGCAGATCGTTATCCACTCATATCATGGAGCCGACCAGCGACCCGTCAGTCAAAACTGGAAGTATGGATGTCCATGATCTTTCCCCCGATCTCAGTCGAATTTTCGCAAGATGGTGGGCGTCGGCGTCGTTTTATCGGAATTTCTCTAAATCGCGTGAACATGGTGTGAGAGCTTCGAAACAAGGCTCTCTGTTCCCCAGTGTCCCCACCGACGTACTAAAAGACGTTCGCTTGACGTTTGGAGAAGAAATTTCAAGAAGCGAACCTGCCTGAGACCGACAAGACGACGGAGGGCTAGCAGGCAGCTTTATTTCTTGCCTGGTCTATTCTGCACAAATTGAGTTTAAAAATCGTCCGTTGTGTGCCCGACCGGCTGCCTGCGCGCCCGTCCGCCTTCAAGGCTCTCATAATCTCCTGGACGACGGCTAGGTCGCTGAAAGGCCTTCCAATCTGATTACTCTGTTCGCAAGAGAACTTAAAAGTCCAGGCATGGAGAGAAAAAAATGTAGGTATATATTCTCAGCTTCTCGATTTTGTGTGAAGAAAGGACCGGCGCCGTTCGCAAAATGGAGTCAGAGCTTGTCCGTGGACGACTTCGGCAGCGGTGACCCTCGACAATGGAACTCCCGTTTTCGGATAGAAATCGCGCGAGGACGATCAATCGCCACGAGTTCGTACGTCCTCCAGAAGTGAGAGGTCGATTAGGGACGGTGTGCTGAATTTGACCCTCCCTTAGGGGAAGCTCATCGATCGAGACCGGAATCAGAATACACCGTGATCTCAAGCACCACCGAGAGAGATTCTATCGCATCCTGACCTCCCCGGTCTTTCGAGAATGTTTGTTGGCAAATACCTACACAAAAAGTCATCCTTCTAATAATAAATTGCACCGATGTCGACGCCCACGTGAGAGGCGGCGAGCATAGTGATGAGTACGAAAATAATCGCGGCAAGCAAGCGACTCCGCAACGGGACGAGACTTCGTTAAGGTTCGGAGATCGTGGTGCAGGTGAACGCTTCGACTAACTCGAACCTGGCAGAATACCCAGCCAACGGAACCTCAGACCCCGTGGTTGTGAAAAGTGCAGCTTGGACTCTTACTAAGTCCCGTGACTTGACATGGTAAAACGATGCCTTCATCAGCTAACAATCTTGGTCTCCAAGGATCAGCTGTAGCGGGGATCCGATAGGACCATTCGAAATAGAGGAACTTGCTCGAGGAGCCTGCGAGCAAGAGCGGGAATATTCGTTTCGCACCACGACTTCTCAACGCCGACTCCACAAAAGCTCGAGCCTCTGACACTTGTATCCATGGCTGAGCGCCACTGGTCGAGAAAGCGAGACACAATCCTCCGAACGAACCCACGGATATTTTGTACGGATTCTGATATTTCGGTCTGATGCACCCGTTCTGAACTCATGGTAGACGTTTTTGACCGTCGCCATGTAATCGGTCCTGGAATTATGTGGCGCTGATTCGCCGACCCCTTCTCATAAGCGTACATCAGCGGTGTAGGTAATGTTTAATCGAATTTAGACGATTCCCGTTTTTTTGTCGAGGTCACTAAACCTCCGCCACCCTGCTGCCAATCTTCCCTGCGCCGCCTCTCATCGAGCCAGGCGGGCTCTTGATCTTCTCCAGTGATGTGCAGCAGGGGCTACAATCCTAGTGTCAAGCTGCTGCTGTTTTTTTGGAGCCGCTGACGCGGAATCCATTGATTAGCAAGAGATAACGATAGCGGGAGATAAGGCGAGGTGACTCCTATCGGGGTCCTGTGCTGCCTCGTTTCGTAGAGGGAAGGGGAGGCAGCAGGGTATGCATGAGACACATCGGTGGGACAGGTCCTCCTTTTCTCTCGTTCTCCGCTCGGAATATTTTCGAGCCAAAATTTTTTCCTGCCGGGGCCTGCTATCCGAAAGCGCATGCCTGGTTTCCGTGGAGAGACGGCGTACCCAAACATCGGTTTCGTACGTCGTCTCTTGATGGCTTCACCGATGATTTCGTACCATCGGACCCAGGAGCGGAGGAAAGCGAGAAAAACAAGCGAATAGGAAGGAGCACGCGGAACTCACCCTTCTTGGCTCTTCGAGGAGGATGTCGTTGTAGCTTACAGAGGAGCGAACCTTTGCGGGCAACGGTAGTGTCGCCGTCGAATGGCCGTTCTTCAGTGAACTGTGTATCAAAGCTTCCTCGGAAGGGTGGGACGGTCCCATCACGTTCATTATGACACCTGCTCCAGTGTCGATTGCGTAGTTGTTGACCTGTGGAAGCGTAGGGAGCAAGGGTTTCATTAAGTGACGTCCAATGGAACAAACCTCAACCGGGACCTCATTTGGATTATTCAAACATTCAACATATAGAATCGCCCGCTCATCCCCAAACCACAAAGATGGAAAATGCAGGCCACCCACATCAAAGATGCACCATCTAATGGAGTCTATCACACCGTTGCAAGAAAGTTACAAACTCCAATTCTAATGAAAATCATCCTCCCCGGTCATTCACTCCATCGGTGGCAACCAGATGTCGCTGGATCCCTAACAGTAGTACTGATTTCATGGGAAGATTGATGATCGGAAGGTTTATCAGCAGAAGGGGGGAGGAGGGCTTGGCACCTTACCAGAGAGTGAGCCGAAATATCGGCTGGATACTGGTGATGATGGTGGTGGCTCATGTGACTGTTCAGGGTCATATAGGCGGGAGGGAGAGTTCCGTAAGGATGGTGAGCAGAAATCGTGTAGTCACTGATGGTCGGGGGTCCGACTTTGACGCCTCCGGCGAATTTCATTTGAATCGGCGCCATCGGCTGATGTCATCGAATCAGTGGTACGATGATGATGATGATGATCAGAGAAGTAGTAAAGGGAGGAATAATGGACGAAGCGTTGTTAGTGAGCGAATGATATTAGTGCCGAACCAGAACCACCACCGAAACCGAATTACAGCCTGGATGGACTATGCGTTCCACTAAACTACGTAAAATCCCAAATAATGCGATCAGTGAGCGAAATAGATTTGCGCGGACATTGTTCTCGTACGGAACAAGAGGACAAGAGAACAATGCCGGAGGGACAGCCCACGATTAAAAACAAAAATACAACGACGGGAAACAACAGGGACAACGTCATTGACGGCTACGATCACATCGGAAATCGAGATTCAGAGATGGATTCGTTCATCGCACGCTCACCGCGCTTACCTTGTTCGTCTGATGTGACGACTGGCTGAGCCTACCCGTAGCGCTGCCGTTGCCGTCCGTGTGATGGTAGACTCCGGCAGTCGTCTGATGGATCTTAGGGGAGGAAGAGAGTACGAGGTTGTCATCGACAACGTCAGCGCTGCCTCCAGCCCGAACCTCGTACCGGTTCGTGGACGGTAAACCATTGCTCATGGCGCGTGTTTTGCCGTTCTGCTGGTTGCCCGCGTTGCCGTTCACGTCTGACTTGGCATCTACAACCTTGAACGGAGAAGATTCTGCGTCAGAGAGAGAGAGAGTCTCGACGTCGAGCGCGATGCGGAACTTTTGTTCTCGGTATGCGAGACAGCGACATGCCGGGTGACGAGGAGTTGCTCAATGAAAATCACTCAGGACCGGAATCTCCGTGTCGAGCGATCGAGTGCGGAACTCCTGCTGAACTCGCCGGGAAGATACAGCGCAGGAAACAGGACAGCCTTGGGCCCGAGTATCCGATACTGTAATCGCTGATGGGAACCTAAACGAGCCTCGCTCAGCTCGCCCAAGGCTGCGATGACCGGGAAATCAGCATTAAGCTGTACGACCCTTCATTTGATTCGTCAGTCGGTCCTTCACTGGGGCCGATGTCGCCCGAAACCGATGTGCACCGCAACATCTGCGAGTTGCTCGCTCTCATGTGTCGCTAACGACAATGTGACGGACGAACGCATCGGATTCGGCATCGGTCGATTTCCCGGCCCACGGGAGTGCCGCGTCGTGATTTGCGCCGAGCAACTCGATCCGATAAATAATCGTTCGTTCGTGCCCCGAGCGGTAATATTGTGAATTGAAAACTCCGGGAAACTCCGTGCCAAGCGTTGTCGAAACGTGTCCGGGTCGACCCGCAAACAGAGGCGTGTAGGCTCACGACAGAAGCGCGAATCGGGCACGAGATGAACATTGAGTTGCATTGCAACTGTCTCGTACTTGTTCCAACAGAGTTCGCTTGCTGACAAGCGAACTGTGTTGCAACAACAGTCAACGTCCAACTGCTCATATGTCGCCACTGTGTTGCTGTTCGCTGTTTTACGGCCACTCCTTCGGTGCACCTGACTGTCGTCGTTCTCGTCCGGAGGAGCGGTGGCAAAAACGAAGCCTGACTGGATGCCGCTTTCGAGATAAGCTGGATTCGAATCTCGAGCGGGGCATCCCGTCCTATTCCCCCTCTCCGTCGTTTCTCTTCTACTTACTCTTCTTCGCCTAGGTCGGCACATCGTCGCGGACAGCGATACGAATACGAGACCGAGAATGATTCCGCTCGCCCCAGCCATAGCCAAGTAGAGAACGTGTTCGGGGTATTGCGTGATCATCGCGGTGGCTCCGATTCCCAGGACAATGAGCAACATGCCTGCAAGAAAACATTCATTCCTCAAGCCGAGACTCCCCCACAACGACTCGTTAAGGAAGAATTCAATGGAAACAGGAGATTCGAGAATCAAGTTCCGCGAAACTCGTGTTCCGCGAAGGCTGTTCTGAGGATCGTTTCGGGACGCTCACCAATGAGATAGAAGAACGCCACGCAACAGCTGACGCAGGCTCCCTCGCTCTCGTAGGAGACATTCGCTTGTGACGAATATTGCGGCTTGTGTTTGATGGGGGATGGCGACGATAGAGAAATAGCGGAACTGCCGTTCGACAGCGTCGTTTGAGCGTCCGGTGCCATCCTGGACAGCTCGAAACTGCCAGCGCCGCCCTGATCGCCTGAAATTCAGAGAAAAATATGTCAGTCCCGTAGAGTTCAGTAAGGACCTAACAAGATTTTTGTTCGATCACATGATCCCGTCCTGGAATTCTCCTGTGGGGGAGCTCGATTCAGTCGCTTCCCGGATCGGTTTCGCAGGGGCGAGAGAGCTTCCCGAACGAGACCGTGGACTTGTTGGCGTCGTTCTTGGTGTAGGGCCAGCCGGTCTGGAGAAGTCGACAGGCCGCCATGGCTGCCGATATCTTCGATCCGCATGAGCTATGAATTGGTCTTCGCATCGGCTCCGTGCCATGTTGGAAGTGGACGAACGTTGCAATAATATAATGATATAATTAATGTATTCCCAGAAGTTGGCCTCCTTCGCCCACAGCTCACTCCGTCAGTCGGCCGAGAGAGCGGTCCACAACCGACGGGCGAGCGAGCGAGCCGCTGGCAAGACAACCGCCCATGCAGCGTGCGAGCCGAGCAGGCGAGGCGGTGGATATCCAAGATAAATATGTCCCCGCTGAGTAAGAAGGATGACTCTGAAATACGATCCGGAACCCTTTGGGGTCTCGACGGCGGCCACTCCGGTGACTCGCTGCAACGAGTCCGCTCTTGTCGTATTGACTCGAGCGAGTTTGCCAACTTCTCGACTAAGATAGAACCGATAGGTCAAGACTGCGTGGCGGCCGCCCGACGAGACCTATCCGAGTCGATCGCGGGCCAGGAACGAGAACAGGAACGACAAGTCGATCGAAGACCGGCAACCGGAGTGAAAGCAATGAAAAAAGAGGCCAGCGACGGTTCGTCCGTTCGTTCGACGACGGAGGAAGCCTCACGAGTCGACGTTGCTTGGAGGGAGTCGGCTTAACAAATTGCGCCATCGCAACTTGAAGATTCTGTCTCTCTTACCCGGCTCTCATCTCACTCTGTTTTCCTTTCAAATGCCGAGCTCGCTCCATCCGAATCCTCGGGGGCCCTTCCCATGCTCTAATATGGCGTATATATTTCGCATCTGTATCCCCTCGGACGTCTGTCCCCGCACGGCGGCGCCGCTGGGGGGCGGCAGGCATTGCCATGAGCTCTCTGGCGCCGAAACGACGCTACATCTCTGTCATCGAGTCTCTTCCAATCCATTTCGGGTTTCTTGTCCGTCGCACAACTACTCCCCTCCGACCGGATATGAAATGAGCGAATTGTCGAAGGTAGCTACTCGAGTAGATTTCCTGTTGCATTTCCTGTCGCTCACCTTCCCGCATTTCCAGTCGGAGACCGCGCAAAGTCGACAAGTGAGCTCGTCGAGCGCGGGCTCCGACAGCCGAGCCAAGAACTCGCGGCTTCTCTCATCCGGCTCAGACCGGGGAGAGCCCCGGGCTCACAAAAGCGGTGACGTCGATGACGCGAAAGGCACCGTCTGGGAGAAATCGATGAAATTTCCTAAATAATCACTTTTTTTTTCTTTCTTAATAATACGTCTGACAGCCGAGATGGGTGGTTGAAGGGATCGCGGCCGGGTAGGCAGGGTGCTCTTCTTGCCTCTTCTTTTCACTGTCCCCAGGTCGGCGCCCCGTGTTCCCTCCTCGGGAGGAAGACAAACTCCTTTCGGACTCCCTAACGTCTTTCGTTCGATCTACGCCGGCCTGTTCATTCTCTGCGCTGCTTTCCCCTGGAGCCCACATTTCCCCTCATACAAATGATCTTGTCTATAAATCGATCTCCCGTCGTGCAGGGCGATTTGGCGCCGCTGCGAGGGACGCTATATTTGAAAAATGATCACTGATCGTCTCCCACTAGTGTGACAGTTTGGTCGCTGCGTGTATGTGCGTTCCAACTGCGTTCATCCGTATATCCCTTTACGTCCGTTTCGTTGGTTCCCCCGTCTGGCTCGCTGCTCGCGACGCTCTCGCTCCTCCGCCCCCTTCCCTCAGCCTTGCCGAGGGACAATCATTCAATGGTATAATTATGATCGATATAGTTACGGGCGAAGCGAGCGATCCCTTCGATAAAATCTCCGCTCGTCTCGTTCATCAAAGGTCGTTGTCGATCCAGGTTGTCGCGGATTCCACGTCGACATCCGCCGTTCTGCCGGTGAGGCGGCATCGGCGGATCCGGCTTTTGACCGTCAGCGGTCCGATGTGTCTCATCTGATGAATTTATGGATATAAGCATGCTATAACAAGCCCGAATGAAGGATTGCAGGAACATTGGCAAACAGAATAAGTATGTAGATGCCGTCCGGAACGCGAAGGCTTCGGCTTCATTTTTTCCCCTTGTCTCGGTCGACGGTACCCAGACCGTCGCGATTCCCTCCACCCGAAAGTGCTCCGATATGGTGTTATTCCCTTCTTCCGCTGTGAGCCGTCCATTCCGACGGCCTCGTGCTTCTAGCGCGTTATGAATGAACAGAGCGGAGATTTAGGCGGCGGAGCTGTTCACTCAGGAAGCCAGCGCCGTCGAAAACGCGCGTATCACGTCCTGCGTACTGACCGGACGGCGCAACGGTGTCTCGAACGCTGCTGGGCCTGTCCTCCCCGTGGTGGCCGCCCGGCTCGACGACGAACGCACATCAGCACGGCACCGATCGGGTGAATTGTCGAGACCGGTAATTAATCAATAGGTTTTTATGCGAAGGACCTTGCCAGAGGTCGCGTCGTCGGAGTCAGAGGTCGTCGGGATCGGCGCGTGTCTTCGGAAGCGGCCGCCTCGACAAAGACGACCCAGTTCAAACAATCCGACTGCGCTAACTCGCACCGTGTCGAAATCCTATGGTGTAAAAAAACAAACATGGGTGTGCACTTCCATCCGGCAAAACCGACAACGGCGACTACGACAGGGAAGCGTTGGTGTTGTCGGCAATACGGTATCGACGATAAAGTCTACCACGCCTCGCTTGGTTTTGCAGTGCCTCACGATCGGTTGGCACAGCACCGGTAGCGGACCGGGCGGCCTCCGAACTCGAGGGCAACTGAGCCAGCGGGCGTAGAGAAGGCGTAAGAGCAAACAGTCAGAGGATGAAGGAACGACGGAGAACAGCCTCAGACACGCGGACACACCGATCGAAGTCGAAGAGTAGGGCGTATGGACGCCCGGTTGTCCTGCTCGCTCCTGCTGGTTTCGAATGCTCCCATCAGGGAGCTCCGTACGCCCGTTTCCGTGCCCACCCGTCACGGACTCCGTGCCAGCTACAATTCGATGCGCAGAAATAGAATCTGACATGCCGTCGAATCGCTCTCCTATGAAACATCCAGCTGATCTCGTCTTTCCCCACCGGAGACTACCTGCTCCTCGAGGGGGAAGATTGCGTGCCGACGAAGTATACCCTACGCAAATGTCGTCGAAGCCAAGTCCTCGAGCCGTGAGAATCACCGGGAGTTGAAGGACGACTATCGGATCGGGGTCGGCTCTTGAGTAGTTTCTGCGAAAACTCGCAACGGAATACGGGAATTCTCTCCCCGGGGTCGCAACGCGGACTCGGAACGCCGATCTCGAAAATGCCTCTCGGTTTCCGGAAAGCATCGATTCGTCATCGGCATTGCTGACTGGCCGTTCCGCTCACTGAGTCTCCGTCTGTCTCGCGATTGCGGATTCTCTCCGAAAACTCCGTTCCCGCAACAGAGTCGATGATTTCTTCCCGGCGGTCGTCGCAGCACTTCGCTCAGTCTCTCCGACATCATTTTCCAGTCAGTAAGTCGCCGTCGCTTCTCTCATCGAGATGAGTTCGCCTGCGATTGAGCCATGCAACAACAAGCGTTTGAGGGCAAGTCGAGCGAACGCGCGTTTCTCCGTCTCTCTCTTCCTTTCGGGACGCGCAGCAACAAAGTCGCTCTCAAACTGCGGCGGCGAGGCAAACACAATCCGTGACCGATTTCCGTCATCGGCCTCCAGCCGCATCGCCATGAAGACGCACTTCGTCATATTCGCTTGCAGCTCGTCTCCGATACTCGGGCTCGACTGCCGAAGTCAAAGATTCCGATAGTCGGATCTGAGACGACCGGTGGCGGACCCCGCGGACGAGCGGATGCCGACTGCGGGGACGCATCCGGTGCAATTGTCGTTGCGGTAGCTGCGCCACGAACGCCTCGGTGCGGGACGACAAAGCGTCACGGTTCTAGGCCAAGTTTATTGAGAGCCATCAAACTAGCGTCCTGGCCAAGTTGTATCCGCCGTAATATTTTCTGCTTCGGAGAAACGATGTTGATACCGAATACGGTCGGTTTTGCTCACAACGTGAGAGCCTGCAGCGTGAGAATGCCAAGCAAATTGAGGTAACATAACACTATACGCTCCTAATGATGTCTTATTGCTCCCCAACGAATAAGAGCCGTCGGCCAGTCGACCAGTCAGCCGGAGGGACAGACGAATAACACACGGAGCGTCTCGACTAAAGGCGTCGTCGGCGACGTACACGACCGGGCCAACTCGACGGCCTCCTCCAATAAGGCGAGCGGATGTTCGGGAGGTTGGGGGGTGGGCTTCGAGAACTCTTTATTGGTTCACGTCGTTGCGTCAGCAATGAACTCAAACAACGATTTAGTTTGTTGTTAGTGACGATGTTTACGTCTGTTGCTGAAACCGAACAGCGCTCATTAAGTTGGTAGAAGAATTCAGCTAGTCTGCGGTTGACGACTACCGCCTCTCTAAACCACTCAGTCCTTCACTACCTCTTCAGCCGCTACCAGCAACAGACCGCCTCCGCAGATGGTTGTACCGATAGAGAAAGGAATGACAAGGGCTGATTCACTTGAATAAACTCAACGATCTCCGCTCGATGTACGACGAGAGCAGAGCGAAGCAGAACTTCGTGGAGCAGACTGGAGAGGAGACTTCCGAGGATTAGACAGGATCGAACGGCATAATTTTTTAACCAAATACTTTTTGCTATGACAGCACTCGCGAAATACGCCATGAGCAAATTCATACACTGGATACGTCGCCCCCCCCCTTGAATCCCGCCATGAATGTTCCGAGAGAGGCGAGGCCCGATCTAA